AGATGAAGAAATAATAATAATGAAATTATAAAGTAAAGAATAGATAGTTGGATGATGATAACAATAACAGTGTCAAGTATAGACAGATGGAGAAATCATCATAATCATATCAAATATAGATTGCTGAGGAAATAATAATAATAATAATAATCTATACACATAATAAAAGTGAAAATGTATATGTGTGTATTCACAAACTTTGCTTTTAAGGAAGGGACATCATCCTGCTATAGCACCTTTTCCAATGGTTTCCAATGAATATCTCATCTTCGAGTCTCAACCCATTCAGCATAGTTTGTGACACAAAAACCAAGTTTGTGGAGTAGAACAACTACTTTCAAAGCAAGGGCTGCACAATTAAATAGGAAATAACACTTTCAAACCAGGAACAGAAAAAAATCCTAATTTTGTTACATACTGAATTGAAATCTATACACATAGTACCTTCATCCACATCCAGAGACTGCGACCCCCACAAATGACGAACCTGGACCAAACTTGCCACACAGACTCTCCATGATGTGCTTTACATCCTGGTGCATTTTGGGGGATGGACCAGGAATGATGGAAATTGCAGTATCTTCACTCACTTCCAGAATCCACTACGACCTGAACGAATGATGCACTGGACCAAATCTGAGACACAGACTCCCAATGACGCACTTTCTGTCCTGGTGAGGGTTGGAGGAGGATGGACCACAGAAGATGGGATTTGCAGTACCGTCACCCACTTCCACTGACCACTGCGACCTTCACAAATGACGGGCCTGGACCAAACTTGGGGCACAAAACCCCCATGACCAACAGAACATACTGGAGGGGTTTGGGAATTGACCAACCCACATGGGAATTGTAGTTCACCTTGCATCCAGGGCACTTTGAACCCCACTAATGATGGATCTGGACCAATCATGGCACACAGGACCCTGATGACCAACTGAACATACTGGAGGTGTTTGTGGGGGGAACTGACCCACCTGAGTGGGAATTGTAGTTCACCTGCACCAATGATGGACCCAACATGCCCAACTGTGAATACAGGCAGGGTTTGGGGTTATTGCTCTGGGTATCAGGGAGTTGTAGTTATTCTACATCCAGAGAAACTATAACCCCCACCAACAATGGACCAGGACCAAACTTGGCACAGAGAAGCCCCATGAGCAACTATACTGCAGGCCTTTCTGGGAACGGATCTTGATTTTGGGAATTGTAGCTCACCCTTATCCAGAGAGCACTGAACCCAGCCAACGTCAGATTTGGCCTACACTTGGCACACAGACCCAACATGGGCAGCTGTGCATACAGTTCTGGTTTGGGGAGGATTGATGCACGATTCTGGGAATTGTAGTTCACCCACATTATTATGTATTTTCGAATGGGAGTATTCATAAAAAAAGAAATCAAGTTGGCTTTTTTTCTTATAAATAGTGTTACTAATTAATGAAATGATATGACCTAACTCCCCCAGTAATAATAATAATAATAGTAATAATAATATCCACCACAAGGTCTTTAGCCTTCTTTTACCAAAGGTGCAAGTGGCTCACCAAACTACAGCTCCCAGGACCCATAGCACCGAGCCATGGCAGCTAAAGTGGTGTGCGCGCGCACACACACACACACACACACACACATATAAGCTAAAATGGTATCACGCTGCATTAACTCAACAGTTTGGATGCACCCCGAGTGGCCCCTGCTTCAAAGACTCTCTGTGTATTCTGGCTGGTGAAGCTGCAGCAAAGAAGGCCAATGCAATCTAGGGCTGCATCAACAAGAACAGTCATTTCCAAGTCATAGTCCCATTATAATAGGCCGCAGTCTATTTCGATTGACCTTTAGGAGGAATGTCTGGAGAATAAAAGTAGATGGCCAAGAGAAGCATCTTTCAGAGCGGCCCTCTTTCTTTTGACACTTGAAAATAGTTTTTATGTGATTTTGAGTCCTTGCTTTTTAACAATTCAATCTTTAATTCTATTTTAACACATTTTAAACTGTATTCTATTTTAAACTGTATGTCGAAAGAGCTCGTTTAAGAGAGGAAAGCAGGAATATTAATAACAATAAGAGTAATAATTACAGTAAGACACATAGCCTGGGTTACCAGAGTCTCATTTAAGTAGGAAATAAATGTAACAATAATGATGATGATGATGTTGAAGACACTGCTGGAAATGGGCAATGGATTGTCTAGGACAGGGGTCCTCAAACTATGGCCCGGGGGCTGAATACGGCCCTCCAAGGTTATTTACCCGGCCACCACTCAGGGTCAACCTAAGTCTAAAACGACTTGAAAGCACACAACAACAACAATCCTATCTCATCAGCCAAAAGCAGCCCCACACTTCCCATTGAAATACTAATAAGTTTATATTTGTTAAAATTGTTCTTCATTTTTATTATTGTATTGTTTTTAAGTGGTTTTTTTCACTACAAATAAAATATGTGCAGTGTGCATAGGAATTCATTCATTTTTTTTCCAAATTATAATCTGGCCCTCCAACAGTTTGAGGGACTGTGATCTGGTCCTCTGTTTAAAAAGTTTGAGGACCCCTGGTCTAGGATGCTAATTGGGATTCCCCGAGTCGCCTTGGGGAGATGGTGGCGGGGTATAAATAAAGTTTTTTTTTATTATTATTCCTTAAAATAAAAGAGTCAATTTATTTGGTAGAGGCCAAAACCGTTGATGTTTGTTATTATTACAATTATTATTCTGCTTCCCTCTCTGGATCAAGACCCAAAGCAGCTATATGGTTCAAAGGCTTTCATGGCCGGAATCACTGGGTTGTTGTAGATTTTTTCGGGCTACATGGCCATGTTCTAGAAGCATTATCTCCTGACGTTTCGCCTGCATCTATGGCAAGCATCCTCAGATGTTATGAGACCTCACAACCTCTGAGGATGCCTGCCATAGATGTGGGTGAAATCTCAGGAGAGAATGCTTCTGGAACATGGCCACATAGCCCAGAAAACTCACAGCAACCCAATAGTAATAATTCACATGGCCAGAGCTGCTCCGATTCCCATTTAAGACAGGAAATCAGGATATAAATAAACATAATAATAATAATAATAATAATAATAATAATAATGTCAAGTATTGATAGCTGGAGAAATAATAGTAATAATAATAATAATAATAATACTTCATTTGGAAGAGGCCAAAATTGTTGTTATTAAGAAAGGAACGTTGGATATAATAATAAAAATAATAATAAGATCAGGGTATAATGACAATAATAATTGCCGGGGTTGCTCTGATTCTTGTTTAAGAGAGGAAATCGGGATATAAATAAACATAATAATAATGTCAAGTATTGATAGCTGGAGAAATAATAATAATAATAATAATAATAATAATAATAATTCATTTGGAAGAGGCCAAAATGGTTGTTAGTAAGAGAGGAAAGTGGGATATAATAATAATAACAATAATAATAAGACATCAGGGTATAATAACAATAATATTTGCCCGGGTTGCTCTGATTCTCGTTTAAGAGAGGAAATCGGGATATAAATAAACATAATAATAATGTCAAGTATTGATAGCTGGAGAATTAATGGTAATAATAATAATAATAATTCATTTGGAAGAGGCCAAAATGGCTGTTATTGAGAGAGGAAAGTGGGCTATAATAATAATAATAATAATAATAATAATAATAATAATACATCAGGGTATAATAACAATAATAATTGCCCGAGTTGCTCTGATTCTCGTTTAAGAGAGGAAATTGGGATATAAATAAACATAATAATAATTATAATAATAATTATAATAATAATAATGTCAAGTATTGATAGCTGGAGAAATAATGGTAATAATAATAATAATTCATTTGGAAGAGGCCAAAATGGCTGTTATTATGACAGGAAAGTGGGATATTATAATAATAATAATAATAATAATAATAATAATAATAATACATCAGGGTATAATAACAATAAAAATTGCCTGGGTTGCTCTGATTCTCGTTTAAGAGAGGAAATCGGGATATAAATAAACATAATAATGGGTTGTTGTAGGTTTTTTCGGGCTGTATGGCCATGGTCTAGAGGCATTCTCTCCTGACGTTTCGCCTGCACTTTGGCAAGCATCCACTACCTCTGAGGATGCTTGCCAAAGTGCAGGCGAAACGTCAGGAGAGAATGCCTCTAGACCAAGGCCATACAGCCCGAAAAAACCTACAACAACCCAGTGATTGCGGCCATGAAAGCCTTCGACAAAACATAATAATAATAATAATAATAATGTCAAGTATTGATAGCTGGAGAAATAATGGTTATAATAATAATAATTCATTTGGAAGAGGCCAAAATTGCTGTTATTAAGAAAGGAAAGTGGGATATAATAATAATAATGTCAAGTATTGATAGCTGGAGAAATAATGGTAATAATAATAATAATTCATTTGGAAGAGGCCAAAATTGCTGTTATTAAGAGAGGAAAGTAGGATATAACAACAACAACAACAACAACAACAACAATAAGACAGCAGGGTATAATAACAATAATAATTGCCCAGGTTGCTCTGATTCTCGTTTAAGAGGAAATCAGGATAAATCATGAAAGGCTTCGACAACACAATCAGGATATAAATAAATATAATTAACATAATTACAATAATAATAATAATTATTATATAAATAAATATAATTAACATAATTACAATAATAATAATAATGGATAGAGGTCATTTCGGATGTTGCAAACGGGCCACAGGAAGGGAGGCAAAGATTAGGATGAGGAAGGAAGGATGGAAGGAAGGGCATCGCCCAATCATCTTCATGGCGACACGCGTCATCCGTTACACACGTGCAAAGATGCGTGTTTTCCCTTTCCCGAAGCCCTAGGCAACCGTTGGGCCGCTGCACTGATGCTATGTTAATGCACAACCCAACGGCCGCCTAGGATCCCGTGCAAAGTTGACCCGCGTCTTCATGCACGTGTGAACGCGCTGACACGTGTCTGTTTACAAACAAAAAAAATTCCCCTTTACCTTCCCCTCGGAGTCCTGCTGCCCGTCGGCATCTCGGCCCGCTCTCTGCCTCAGCTCGCTCATTTGGGGCTTGCTTCCGAAGCTGCTGCTGCTGCAAAGGCGATGCACGGTTTGCAAAAGCGAAGCAAAGCAACAAGCAGCGCGAGACAGCCAGCCAGCGGGCCAGGCCCGGGAATTAAGGCGGGGCTAAGGCGGGCCGGCCAATAGGAAGCCGAGGACTGCGGTGGGCGGGGCCTAGCTGCTTCCTTCTCCCTAGAGCACAGGGAGAGATAGAACATTGCAGCAGGAGGCGCTCCTAATGCGCAGCTTCCTGGTCTAGTTTGACGTTCGGAATTATTACATTAGTACATCATAATAACATTATTATATTTGTATATTGGTATGTAATTATATTATATTACTATCTAATAAATATGTTTTTTTTGTTTGCCATAACTATATTATTATATATTAATATAATATGCAGTTTCTCAAGATGCTCCTGACATTAAAATGAACAAAAATATATAATATTAATAAAAATTTATTCGATATTAATATAATATATTATATTATTACATTAGTACCTAATAATAGTATCTAATAATAAGCTTATTGTAGTACATCATAAATATATGATTATTATATATTATAATATCAATATATTATATTATTAATATCTAGTATTATAGTGTATTATAATATATTCGTATATAATGTTTATTTTAGCCTACACCTATATTATTAGGTAATATATTAATACACAATACTAATAGCATGTTAATATATAATATTGTATTAGTAAATAAAAATATTGTATTTATTTATATTATTACTATATAACGGTATATAATAATATATTTAACTATTATAATCAAATACATTTTATTTTAGGATATAACATTCGTATATAATAATAACATTATTATATTAGTATATAATATCATTTTAGTATATAATAATACGTTTATTTTAGTACATAATAACTATATTGTAATATTATATAACAGTATATTAATTTATATAAATAACATATTAGTGTATAACATTATTGTATTAGTAAATAATATTATTGTATTGGCATATATTTTTACTATACAACATATACAAGTATACAACATCATAATAATATATAACATTTTTACTATATAAAAGCATTATATTAATATATAATATTAGATTAGTATATAATATTATATTAGTATACAATATTTTTATTTTGATAAACAATAGTTATATCATTATATAAGATATTAATTTATAATAAAAATATTATATTAGTATATAATAATATAATATCGTATTAAAAAAAGGTCATGTGGTCACTGGCATGACTGCATGGAGCGCTGTTTCCTTCCCGTTTTTTTTTTTTTGGTCGTGTCAGGAGCGACCTGAGAAACTGCAAGTCGCTTCTGGTGTGAGAGAATTGGCTGTCTGCAAGGGGACGCCCAGATGATTTGATGTTTTTATCATCCTTGTGGGAGGCTTCTCTCTTGTCCCCGCATGAGGAGCTGGAGCCGATAGAGGGAGCTCATCCGCCTCTCCCGGGATTCGAACCTGCGACCTGTCGGTCTTCAGTCTTGCCTGCACAGGGCTTTAAACCACTGCGCCACCGGGGGCTCCTGTTTTACTAATACGATTATTTACTAATATGATAATGGAGCCCCTGGTAGCGCAGTAGGTTGAACTGCTAAGCTGCTGAACTTGCTGATCAAAAGGTTGTAGGTTCGAATTCGGGGAGTGGGGTGAGCTCCCGCTGTTAGCCCCAGCTTCTGCCAACCTAGCAGATCAAAAACATGCAAATGTGAGTAGATTGATAGATACCGCTCCAGCGGGAAGGTAACAGCGCTCCATGCAGTCATGCCAGTGGCCACATGACCTTTTTACTTTTTAATACGATAATATTATATTGTTGTTGTTGTTGTTCATTCGTCCAGTCGTCTCCGACTCTTCGTGACCTCATGGACCAGTCCACGCCAGAGCTCCCTGTCGGCCGTCACCACCCCCAGCTCCTTCAAGGTCAGTCCAGTCGCTTCAAGGATGCCATCCATCCATCTTGCCCTTGGTCGGCCCCTCTTCCTTTTGCCTTCCACTTTCCCCAGCATAATTGTCTTCTCTAGGCTTTGCTGTCTCCTCGTGATGTGGCCAAAGTACTTCAACTTTGTCTCTAGTATCCTTCCCTCCAGTGAGCGGTCAGGCTTTATTTCCTGGAGGATGGACTGGTTGGATCTTCTCGCAGTCCAAGGCACTCTCAGCAGTTTCCTCCAACACCACAGTTCAAAAGCATCGATCTTCCTTCGCTCAGCCTTCCCTAAGGTCCAGCTCTCACATCCATAGGTGACTACAAGGAATACCATGGCTTTGACTAGGTCGATCTTTGTTGCCAGTGTGATGTCTCTACTCTTTACTATTTTATCGAGACTGGACATTGCTCTCCTCCCAAGAAGGAAGCGTCTTCTGATTTCCTGGCCACAGTCTGCATCTGCAGTAATATTTTTATTATAAATTAATATCTTATATAACGATATACCTATTGTTTATCAAAATAAAAATATTGTATACTAATATAATATTATATACTAATATAATAATGCTTTTATATAGTAAAAATGTTATATATTATTATGATGTTATATACTTGTATATGTTGTATAATAAAATATATATACTAATACAATATTATTTACTAATACAATAATGTTATACACTAATATATTAGTTATATACATTACTATACTATTATATAATATTACAATATGGTTATTATATACTAGGAGCCCCCGGTGGCACAGTGGGTTAAACCCCTGTGCTGGCAGGACTGAAGACTGACAGTTCGCAGTTCGAATCCAGGAAGAGGCGGATGAGCTCCCTCTCTCAGCTCCATCTCCTCATGCGGGGACATGAAAGAAGCCTCCCACAAGGATGATAAAAACATCAAATCATCTGGGTGTCCCCTGGCCAACGTCACAAGGATGACAAAACATCAGAAATCATCCGGGCGTCCCCTGGGCAACGTCCTTGCAGACGGCCAATTCTCTCACAACAGGAGCGGTTGCTCCTGACACGACAAAAAAAAAAGAAGTAAATAATAATATTTCATTGGTATATATTATTTCTTTTCGTGACCTCCAGCATGACTTCAGCCGTATAATAATCAATAATGATGATCAATAATGATGATAATAGGTTGGAAGAGATGCAAGGGCCATCCAGCCCATCCACTTTCTTCTATGCAGAAAAAGTACAATCAAAGCACTCCTGACCTAAAAGATGGCCATGCAGCCTCTGCTTAATAGCCCATTTCCCAAGGCATTTCCCTATTGATTCAAGGTTTTAAACAAAGACTGCATGATAATAACCTTGAGTCTCGGAGCAGGACCACTTGAGGGGAGCCACCTAGTGAACTAGTCATCTACCAACCAAGAGACATCTTACTTTCAAGGGAAGCCAGGATGTCCCAGCTTTCCTCCCTTTTGTCATTTCCCCATGGACTGAGAGAAACATAAGAACAAGATGATCCAATATCTGTGACAAGGAAATACCAGGGCTTGGCGATCATGCCAGCCATATCTGCATATCTCAACCTTTCAAGAGACCCGGCCGGCTTGAGGAATCTATTATTTGATTTATCGCTGGCCATTTGGACACATCAATTTATTTTAATTCAATCATCTGGACATGTAGTTCATTGTTCTTCCCAAGGACCGCCTCCTCCGCTCCCATTGGCGAAGAGCCTGAAGCGGCGCTGGTTTTCTGATTGGCTGAGCTGTGGCTAAGCCGGCCACGCCTCCCCTCCAGCTGATGACAACAGCCAATTGGGGAGATGCTGGCTGGGGGGCGGGAAATTTGAACTTTGACAACTCTGTTTTTCCATAAAAATGTACTAATTGCATGTATGTCTCTCCTGACGAACGATTGCGGTTTGACATCCGTACCAGCTGGACGAAATAAATACAGCTCGGTGGTTTTTCTTCAACTTTGGTGAGATTTATTTGGGAAAATTCAGGGAAAAATTCTTTGGCTCTTTTCTCTTTGCTCGCCAGAGTACCGGATCCTTCTTGGTGGATCTAAGGGCTCCTCTCTCCTGGGTGGGAGCCTCCAAATTCTAGCTCGATATCAACACTTTCTCATTACTTTATTTTCCAGATCACCAGACTGGGCCACAGCAATGCGTGGCAGGGGATAGCTAGTAAATAAATAAGTAAAACTAAAGAAAACCACGGACTACAAAGCCCATCATCCTCCAGCAGGCCCCGCCACCTGTGAAGGCTTAGTTCTCGCTAAAAAGTAACTTTTCCAAACTCTGGACCGCATTATATAAGTCTACTACGAGTCTACACTCATCATATAACGCAGATGCAATGGAGCATAGATTTGGGCCCAGCCTCTCCCTGAAGAAACAAGCCCAGGCAAGACTGGGTTGCACTAGTCAAGCTTCCGGGTTGAGAACCTCCCCGTGAATGTGATTGGACAATTCCGAAAGAACCCAAGAATCTAAGTGGTTGCGCTATCTATGACGTCAGGCGGGAATTCTCAGCGAAAGCCTCTTTCGCAGGAAGAAAAATATTCCCTTCTGCGCATGCGTCGTTCCAGTGTGGCGCCTTTTAGCTCAAGAGGGGAACGCACATGCGCAGTCGGTCCCGGCTGCGCGCGGGAAGGACTGAAGAGCTTGAGAAGAGTGAGAGAGGCGGAGGGTCTCTGGGATGGGAACACGCCCACTTCTTTCAGTGCTGTGGATTGGTCCCCACAAGGAGTGGGCGGGGTCTTTCCTTTAAAGGGGGGAATGGGTGGAGACACGCTCACAGCGCCCCTTGATTGGCTCACAGCGAGTGGGCGGGACGGAGGGAATAACTTGTCCAGCGCTGTTGATTGGCCTCCATGAGGAGGGGGCGGGGCTTTCATGAGGAGGGGGCGGAGCCTTCACGAGGAGGGGGCGGGGCAGTATAAAAGGGCCCTTCGTGCGCGCGGCAGCCCTCAGAAGCGCTCGTGACCCCGAAGGGAGAACATCGCGGCCTAGCTGTGTGGTGTCTTTGAGGCCGGCAGGATGTTCGAGGCGCGGCTGGTGCAGGGTTCGCTGCTGAAGAAGGTGCTGGAGGCGCTGAAGGACCTGATCACCGAGGCCTGCTGGGACCTGGGCTCCGGCGGCATCAGCCTCCAGAGCATGGACTCCTCCCACGTCTCCCTCGTCCAGCTCACCATGCGCTCCGAGGGCTTCGACACCTACCGCTGCGACCGCAACATCGCCATGGGAGTCAACCTGGGGAGGTCGGTACCTAAGCCGAGGGAGGAAGGAAAGAAGGGCCAGAAGCGCCATGTTTGCCTTTTCCCGCCGCGATGACGTCACGCGCGCCATTTCGCTGCCCTTTGGGCGGGAAGCGCTGAGAGGGAACGAGGGGGCGTGGCTTCTCTCTAGTGACCCCTGAGAGCGGATTGGCTCCTTTGGAAGCCGTCATCTTCCCTGCTTCCACCCGATTGGTGGACTCCTTTTTGTATGGGCGTGTCTAAGGGAATTGGCGCGTTTTTCAAGGGAGAGGAAGCCCTTTTCATGTCAATCCACCAAATATAAAAAATGAATTATTATTATGATGCTTATGCTTATATATTGCCCGCTTTTTCTCTCCACAAAAGAGTCTCAAAGCAGCTGTGTATCTATTGGGTTATAGCTTTTTTCGGGCTGTATGGCCATGTTCTAGAAGGGCGCAAATCAAATAATTGGGTTTTTTTTAAAAAGTGATAGATTAGGGCATTGTATACAGTTCTCTCCTACCGTCTCCAAATTATTTTGTGAAGTTGATTAGCCTGCGAAAGAAAGTGACTTTTTTTGTCCTAATAGGTTTTGTGGCAGCTGGGTTTTGCTAGTTCTTGAATACTGAAGACTCCAGCAATACATGGAGAGAGAGAGTTGTTAGTTGTGTTTCAAATAATAATAGCAGCTACTAACCAACCCCACTCACCCCACCATCAAAACTATCCTCGATATTATCCTTCCTATACAGATCTTCTGTATAGTCTTGCCACCTTCTCTTGATCTCTTCAGCTTCTTCAGTATATGTTCCTCTAAATTTAAAAAGTAATAATAATAAGATATTTTATTCAGATGTTCAAGCTGGGTTTAGAAAAGGCAGAGGAACGAGAGACCAGATTGCCAATATCCGCTGGATAATGGAGGAAGGCAGGGAGTTTCAGAAAAACATCTACTTCTGCTTCATTGACTATTCTAAAGCCTTTGACTGTGTGGATCATAATAAATTGTGGCAAGTTCTTGGTGGGATGGACATACCAAGCCACCTTGTCTCTTTCCTGAGGAATCTGTACAAGGACCAAGTAGCAACAGTCAGAACTGACCACGGAACAACAGACTGGTTCAAGATTGGGAAAGGTGTACAGCAAGGCTGCATACTCTCACCCAACCTTTTTAACTATCATGCGATGTGCGGGGCTTGATGAATGCAAGGGTGGGGTGAAAATTGCTGGAAGAAACATTAACAACCTCAGATATGCAGATGGCACCACTCTGATGGCCGAAAGCGAGAAGCTGAGGAGCCTTCTAATCAAGGTGAAAGGAGAAAGCGCAAAAGCCGGGTTGCAGCTAAATGTCAAAAAAACCAAGATTATGGCAACAAGAATGATTGACAACTGGAAAATAGAGGGAGAAAATTTGGAGGCCGTGACAAACTTTGTATTTCTAGGTGCAAAGATAACTGCAGATGCAGACTGTGGCCAGGAAATCAGAAGACACTTCCTTCTTGGGAGGAGAGCAATGTCCAGTCTCCACAATATAGTAAAGAGTAGAGACATCACACTGGCAACAAAGATCCGCCTAGTCAAAGCCATGGTATTCCCTGTAGTAACCTATGGATGTGAGAGCTGGACCTTAGGGAAGGCTGAGCGAAGGAAGAGAGATGCTTTTGAGCTGTGGTGTTGGAGGAAAGTTCTGAGAGTGCCTTGGACTGCGAGAAGATCCAACCAGTCCATCCTCCAGGAAATAAAGCCCGATTGCTCACTGGAGGGAAGGATACTAGAGACCAAGATGAAGTACTTTGGCCACATCATGAGGAGACAGCAAAGCCTAGAGAAGACAATTATGCTGGGGAAAGTAGAAGGTAAAAGGAAGAGGGGCCGACCAAGGGCAAGATGGATGGATGGCATCCTTGAAGTGACTGGAGTGACCTTGAAGGAGCTGGGGGTGGTGACGGCCGACAGGGAGCTCTGGCGTGCGCTGGTCCATGAGGTCACGAAGAGTCGGAGATGACTGAATGAATGAACAACAAAAGCCGCCTTGAGTCTTCTCCGGGATGAGAAAGGCGGGGTAAATGCAGAAATAATAAAATATGTTTATTTACACCCTGCTCAATCTCTTTCGAAGGAGACTCAAAATGGCTTGAATAAAAAACGATTAAGCCTACAGAGAACATAGGTACTAATCAGGCCCACAAACTTTAAAGCCTCCAAGTTCAAAAGTTGACTCTTAATAGCGATATTTTGTACTTGTTATATTTCTATATGTTATTTGTTTTGTATCCTTACATCTATTATATTATGTTAAACTTTAATGTTATTAAGAATGAACCTGCCAATGTTACGGGAAGGAGCATCAGCCTTGTCTCTTCTCTCATTCCTAGCATGTCCAAAGTTCTCAAATGTGCGGGGAATGATGACATCATCACACTGCGAGCGGAAGACAATGCGGACACACTCGTTTTGGTCTTTGAGACACCAAGTAAGTATCCAGGCGCTTGTTGTTGGTGGGAACCCCACCGATGAGAGCACCGTTCTTTTCATACAGTTGGGAGGGACCCCTAAAGGCCATCTAGCCCAGCCCCCTTCTGCCTTCCTCCTGGAAAGGCACCATCAAAGTACCCCCAACAGATGACCATCCAGCCTAGAATCCTAGGATTCGGAAGGACCCCCAAAGGCTATTCTGTCCACTCTCTTGTCTTCATGCAAGAAAAGCACAGCCAAAGCACTCCCCGGCTGATGGTCATCCAGTCTCTGCTCAATAATAATAATAGGATCCTAGAGTTGGCCATCCTACAGATGGCCATCCAGTCCAACCCCCTTTATTATGCCATCACATAGGAAAACTACAATCAGCCCACCTGACATGGCTATCTAACCTCAATAATAATAATGGGTAGAGACCTTAAGAGCCGTCTAGTCCTACCCCCTTCTGCCTTCGTGCTGGAAAAGCCCTCCTGAATAGACTGCATGGGTCAACTCCCTTCTGCCAGGCAGGAAAAGCACAACCAAAGCCCTCCCAATACAAGGCCATCCCACTTTAATAATAATAATGATAATAGAGATGGAAGAGGTCTTAAGGGCCATTCAGTCCAGTCCTCTTCTTCCTTCATGCAGGAAAAGCACCATCAAAACACCCTCAGATGGCATTCCAGCCTCCTAGACATTCCTATCATCTGGAGGAGGCCTCCAAGAGCCACCCAGTTCTGCCTTCATGCAGGAAAGGTGCAATCAGAGCTCTCCTATCAGATGACCATCCAGTCTCTGCTTAATAATAATAGACTCCTAGAGTTGGTGGGGGGGGGGGGGGGGCCCAAAGGCCATCCAGTCCAGCTCCCTTCTACCTTCATGCAGAAGAAGCATAATCAAAGTACCCCTGACAGATGGTTATCCGGTCTCTGGACTCGTATCTTTTCTATTTCTTCTATCTATCTATATAAAATGTTTGTGGGTACGTATGTATGTACATATGTGCACAGCCCCCCCCCCCCCCGACCCACTTTACATCCTGGAAAAGTTTGGGTAGAGTGGACCACAGGTGATGGGATTTGCAGTCCCTTCATCCACTTTCAGACTACTGCAAACCCCATCAGCCTTGGATATGGACCAAACTTGGCACACAGATCTCCCTTTATTTTAAATATCAGGTTTGGGTAGAAATGGCAGGATGATGGGGCTTACAGCCCACCTATATTATTATGGGTCTATTATTACTATTATTTTATTTACTTCCTTTATACTCTGCCTTTCTCACCCTGCAGAGAAATCTAGATGGGTTACAGCTCTGGCAAAATTCAATGCTGCATAAAACATGACAAAACATGTCCCGTCAACTAAAACAATTAGAACACTTGAGCAAATAAAATACACAAAACAATAAACAAACTAAAACATATAGAGTGCTTGATTCCATTCATGCATAATCCTTGTTCGTTATCCTTATTCAGACTCATAAAGCAAGAAGCTTCAGAGTCACAAATATGTTTTCCTTGCAATATTGTCTAGTCTTCCCTGTAGCACTTCGAAAGAAGGATCATGAACTCAGTCTACATCATTGCCAATTAGTTCTGTTGAGTGGAATCAGCACATTTTGTACCCATTCATTCATCTTCCCTCTCCTTGCTTTCCCATTAGATCAAGAAAAGGTCTCTGACTATGAGATGAAATTGATGGACTTGGATGTCGAACAGCTTGGCATTCCGGTAAGGCCCAGAGATGTCGAAAATTTTAGTGTTTATTCTGCTTTGCAATGCTGATCCTAAGCAAACACGTGTTTGGTTAAAAAAGCCAACTTATTATCCAGATAATTTTTCCTATTTTTATTCCTTATTTTTTAAAAATTAAATTGAAATTGAAATAAATATGACAATGATTATGTATAATATCATTTATCTTACTATGTTATTTATTGATATTATATTTATTTTATATGTTATATCTATCTTACTAGTAGTATTTTATTTTGTATGTTACTATTTTTATTTACTCTTTTATAATGAATTGAAATTGCAAGAGGTTAAAGTCATTCACAAGAGAGTTGTGAAGTGAAATATATATGTATATGTATGCATATATAATGTTATTTATTCCTTTAAAAAGAATCAAAGTTGCGTTATGTGAAGTTCATTCAGAAGAAAGTTGTGATGTGAAATAAATCAATGCTGATTCCATTATGAAGGCTGATATTGTTGGGCGAGTGGGCATATTAACAAAAGACCCTCCCCATGTATGTATAGCAGAATGACTTAGCAGCAGCAGCGTGACCCAGCACCAGTAGTCCAAAGTGATTTATTTATTATTTTATTTATAGTATTTATATTCCGCCCTTCTCACCCCACAGGGGACTCAGGGCGGATTACAATGTAGATATACATGGCAAACATTCAATGCCATAGACACACAACATATATAGACAGACACAGAGGCAATTTAACATTCCAGCTTTTCTTGAGGGTATTTTGGTCATCGGGGAGCTGTTCCTTCACTGACCATTTGTGACACTGATGAAGTACTTCCTCATTCTTTGCATTCTTGTTGGAGATTTTTATGGCCTCGTAAATTAGTTAAATTTGTCTCCCTGTATAAGCAGTACTTCAATTTCCTACCTGACAGATGCAACTGTCTTTCGGGCTGCAAAGGTCGACAGCAAGCTACACAAATTGGTTGGACACTCACTCCGACCCGGGCTGACTTCGAACTCATGACCTTTTGGTCAGTAGTGATCTTAGTGCAGCTGACTCCCACTGATAACAAGAACAAAAACACACAGACCAATGTGATCTCTTCCATAGGAGGCTTTACTTTGTAGCAAAATAATATGGTTGCACTATTTACAAGAACAAGGTTTCCATAACACCAATAAAGTCCTTCTTACTTCCTTCTTTGCTTCACACAGTAGTTTTATATACACAGCAGCCTTCACACACGAGGCCTTCAACCTAGAGATTCTCTCACCGAAGCTTCTCACAGTCCAAGGCCTACCTCACACTGAGGCCTTCTCTAACAGACTGAGCCCTTTCTCCCACTGAGGCAAACTAGCACAGAAGCCTACTAAGCTACAGGCACACCTGTTTATATTGTAGCTTTTGCTGAGTCATTCCATCTAGCCTTTCAGCTGTTGACTCACATTTTTTAAAATTAAAATACCTAGTTAATTTTTAATATTTCTGACAGATATTAGAATGGAATTAAATGTATTCAGTGTGTCCCACTGTCTCATGATTAACGTGAGAGTAGGACCAAGAAGGTTAGTGTTGCACTCCAGGACAGGAATAATCCTCTGACTTTAAACACCACGTGTTGAATAGGAAAAAACAATCCTTGAAGTGAAGATAAGTAAAAAACAGTAAAGCAAAAAGCACTTTAAAGAAATGGGTAAATCCAATTAGGTAAGAAGATAAGCAGGAACAAATTAGTCCAAAGTGAAGTTCAGCAAAGTCCATAAAAGCAAAGTTCACACAACTCTAATAAAATCAAGAAAATCAGGAATACATTGATCCAAGGCTTGGGTAAGCAATCGTGAAATCCAGGAATCAAAACCATGAAAGAAGAAATATCTTAGCATGAATCTTTAAAGCAAGGCTTCCATATATTTCTCATGTGTCAGGGCAGCCAGTCAATTATATTACATTTCTAACAGAACAAAACAAAGAAACAGAGAAAATACAAAATTTGTGAGTTTGGTAGTTGATTAAATGTCCTTTGACCAGTATCTGTCCACTTGGAGTGCTTCTGGTGTTGCTGCAAGAAGGTCCTCCATTGTGCATGTGGCAGGGCTCAGGTTGCATTGCAGCAGGTGGTCAGTGGTTTGCTCTTCTCCACACTCGCATGTCCTGGATTCCACTTTGTAGGCCCATTTTTTAAGATTGGCTCTGCATCTTGTGGTGCCAGAGCGCAGTCTGTTCAGCGCCTTCCAAGTCGCCCAGTTTTCTGTGTGCCCAGGAGGGAGTCTCTCATTTGGTATCAGCCATTGATTGAGGTTCTGGGTTTGAGCCTGCCACTTTTGGACTCTCGCTTGCTGAGGTGTTCCAGCGAGTGTCTCTGTAGATCTTAGAAAACGATGTCTGGATTTAAGTCGTTGACGTGCTGGCTGATACCCAAACAGGGGATGAGCTGGAGATGTCTCTGCCTTGGTCCTTTCACTATTGGCTGCAACTTCCCGGCGGATGTCAGGTGGTGCAATACCGGCTAGACAGTGTAATTTCTCCAGTGGTGTAGGGCACAGACACCCCGTGATAATGCGGCATGTCTCATTAAGAGCAACATCCACTGTTTAGGATGAGAACTTGGTGTGATTCTAAATGATGCTTCATCTGACTACACATCCCAAACTTGAGACTTTTATCCCCTTGTTAGCTAGGTCACTAGTGGTCAGAAATTGGTTTAGTTGAGGCTTTGTTATTGTTTAGCTGAGACTTTGTTATTGTTTTCTGTCGAAGCCTGGCAGAGCGCCAAAGCCATTGCTCAGTCATTGTTTTCACCGATCCATTTTGAGTCCTTCTAGGGGTGAGAAAAGCGGTATATAAATACTGTAAATAAACAAATCTCTTCTCGTCTATCACTTGGCTCTTTATCTACTTGCTCCTTAATTTTTGCAACTGGGCCAGGTGCCGAGCTATTTTCATGTTCTCATGAGAAATCAGAAAGCACACCATCATCCCCACACCCTTCAGGGACATTCTCATGGGAAACTACGGGGATTTCCTGGTCATTCTCTGCATCAGTATCACTGACAAAACCATTGCCATTTTGAACCTCATTAACATCATTCCTCACATCCAAAGCACCCTGATCTTGAAACACAATCAGAGGCTGAACTCCAACACTTAGCTTCTTAATGCTTCTCCGCCAGGAGCAAGAGTACAGCTGTGTGGTGAAGATGCCTTCAGCTGAATTCGCACGTATTTGCCGGGACTTGAGCCACATCGGAGACGCGGTGGTCATCTCCTGTGCGAAGGACGGCGTCAAGTTCTCTGCCACTGGGGAACTTGGGAGCGGGAACATCAAGCTCTCCCAGACCAGTGATGTCGACAAGGAGGACGAAGCCGTAAGTTGAATCTACACAAGGCATGGGCAAACTTGGGCCCTCCCTCCAGGCGTTTTGGGCTGAAACTCCCATCATTCTTAACAGCCTCAGGCCCTTTCCTTTCCCCCCTCAGCCCCTTGAGCACCAGAGACTGACACGCCTGGACTTAATGTCAGGGGGAAGCCTTTACCTCATGTCACTTTTTTTTTGGTTGCAGGTGTCAATAGAGATGAACGAGGCTGTGCAGCTGACGTTTGCTCTGCGCTACCTGAACTTCTTCACCAAGGCCACCCCGCTCTCGCCCACCGTCACCCTCAGCATGTCTGCTGACGTCCCCCTCGGTCTGTATCGCGCGCCTCGGCACCAGGCTTGGGATGGAGGATTTTTAGACAATACTAGCATGGGGGTCTCTCTCTGTCTGTATAATAATAATAAACTTTATTTCCATCCCACCCCCTCCCCACACAGGACAGAAAATAAAACACAGTATAAAAACCAAGGCAAAAATAAGAACATAGATGACAATCTCAAAACCCATAGACTAATGTAGCAACAACACAGTAGAAAATCACACGAATTAAAATTTAAAACTAGTTCAAGTCAGTTGATATAAAACCACAATCACAACAGGTGATCAGCCAATCATTTTTGAGTGCTTGCTTCCATGTCTCTGTTTTTAATTCTTTCCTAAAGGAAGCCAGGGAAGGAGCCGATCTAATTTCTTTGGGACAGGGGGCATTCCAGAGCCAGGGAGACACCACCCAGAAGGCCATCTACACACACACACATATATGATGTAAATAATTTGTAACAATGTCACAATTGCATATACACAATAATATATCTTTGACAGTTCTAGACAGCTATTACTTATACCTATCCATGCCCCTCTCTCTTTCTGGGAACAGATATGACTACTCATTGGTTTATATTATTTGTTTGTTCAGGATGATTTTTTGGTTTCATTCCTTATATTTTCCTTTCTGTTTCGCTCTGCCTTCAGGGGAGATAAAGTGGGATATAAGTAAATATAATAATAATATGTGTGTGTGTGTATATAAACATCAGCACAGACACAAAACAATCTATGCGTAATGTCAAAGTGTATTATCAAAAAAGCATATAAGATTCCATTTACCAAAATCCCCAGCACATAGCTCAATTCAGTGGTACACAGAAATCAAAAGGAGCAACCGCTCTCAAACGTAACAGTTCTAGGTCTGGGTAGGGATTCCACTGTATATAGGCTTCAGGGATACATTCAATGAGAAAAGTCATATAAACAAAGTAAGCATTGAGTCATGAGGCTATATGTGAACTGAAGACAATAATGAGGATGAAGCGCCACTCTCAAAACAATCTTCATGGAAAAGTCCCAATGGCATTCAACAGGGGTGCCCGGGTATTTTTTGTACCCTGTTTCGGGGAAAGCAATCCCCTTCCTCAGGAGTTGATAAATTCAGCAACTCTAGACTCTTATATCATGCCAGGTAGCTTATACAAAAAGTGACTGCTTGAAGTAAATTCACATATATATTGGAGCCTCTGGTGGTGCAGTGGGTTAAACTGCTGAGCTGCTGAACTTGTTGACCGAAAGGTCATAGGTTTGAATTTGGGGAGCGGCGTGAGTTTCCGCTGTCAGCCTCAGCTTCTGCCAACCTATCAGTTCGAAAACATGGAAATGTGAATAGATTAATAGGTACCGCTCCGGTGGGAAGGTAACAGCACCCCATGCAGTCATGCTGGCCACATGACCGTGGAGGTGTCTATGGACAATGCCGGCTCTTTGACTTAGAAATGGAGATGAGCACCATCCCGAGAGTCGGACACAACTGGATTTAATATCAGGGGACAACCTTTACCTTTTTACCTTATAATATATTTTATTTTCCTTTCAGATACTCTGATAAATATTTAGCCATTAATTCCCCTTTTCCTTCACCTTTCCATCCTAAGGCAACTTTTGTTTGGGTGGCTGCTATCATATGTTTTGCAATTTCAATCTGGCCTTTATTCTTCCCTTTGCCTTTAATAATAATTGGGTTAAATAATTGTTTTTTGTTTAGTTTGATTCGTCTCGTCCCTAATAATTTTTTAATCTCATTCTTAATCTTTTCGTAGAAATTTTGTAGCCTTTCACAATCCCGCCACATATGAATAATGTGTGTGTTTGTGTACACACACAAATACACACTCAGTCCCCAAGTTACAAACATACACCTTGCAAATGACTTCTAGTTAAGAACGGGGTTGAGACAACAGGAAGGGAGAGGAAGAAAGGGAAGGCTACTCCTGGAAGAGTTAGCATCATGGGGAAAGGGGGAGGGACACTTTTATCTCCAAGCCTTGTTTATTCAAAATCTAATTTTGAATTTTTGAAATCCAATGTCTCTGTTCCGACTTACAAACAAATTCAACAAGAGCAAACCTACAGAACCTATTGTGTTTGTAACTTGGAGATTGCCTATGTATCTATGCCTGCCATTGCCTGGGGCCTGGGTTTACATTTTCTTGGGTGGCTCTTTCCTTGTTTTCCCTCATTCACTTCTTCTTTTCTCTTCCCTGTTTCTTTCTTCTCCTCTCTTCACACATTCTTTCTTCCTTTCATCCCCTTCCTTCCCTCCCCTTATATATGATGTAAATCTTAATATATAAAAAGCTGCTGGTCGTCGTGAGTAGCCTAAAAACAAACAAACTATGGGGCCAACTGACATCCAATTTGGCCTCCAAACATCTCATACCGCAAGGTATGACCAACAATAAAAAAAACCCCAAAACCGTGAAAATAGCTTTACAATTCTTAAAAAATAAAAAAATACCCTCCAGGCATTTTAGACTTCAACTCCCACAATTCCTAACAGCTATGCTGTTCTGGCTGTTAGGAATTGTGGGAACTGAAGTCCAAAATGTTGGGAGGGCCCAAGTAAGCCTAGGTTTACACACATATACAAACAACACACACATGCACGTATCTACACAAACACATATGCACCCATATATACATACACACATAAATACATATATATACACATACATAACACATATACACATGCACACACATATACATATGCACAGGGGCGGCTCAACCCATTATGCAAAGTAAGCATTTACAGTATAGTTGATTTTGCCCAGGGACGCTCTTGAGGGAAAATAGACCTTGATATATGCAAGTTGTAGTTACTGGGATGTATTTACCTATAATCAAAGAGCATTCTGAACTCCACCAATGATGGAATTGAACCAAATATGGCACACAGAACTCCCAACGATGAACAGAAAATATATATCATCATCATATTTAATTACTTATTAATTGCCCTCCATCTGAGAATGCTCTAGGCGATTTACAGCTAAACTGTAAAAGATAAAATACATACATACAGAAATTAAAAAATTAACAGATCAAACGCTCTAGTAAAAAGCCAGGTCTTAAGTGCGAGAGTAAAAGGCCCGGGGGGGGGGGGGGGAATACTATTTGCTTACTGCTGAACATTACCTAGGGCCGCCTCTGCATATGCACATACGTAAACATACACACACAAACACATATATACACATGCAAACCACACGTATATACATATACACATGCACACATATATACACACTAGCTGTACCCTGCCATGCGTTGCTGTGGCCTATAGTAAGAATTGTAGAAGTAGAGGTAGATATCTGGACTATTATGAAAGAGAGGTACCTATCTATTGGGAGGAATCCTCAATATGCCCAAAGGTGAATTCTGGGGGAAATTTGACCTTGGGAGCTGCTTGGATGTCCAGCTCACCTGGAACTGAACTGGGCTCACCCCTTCCTTCGTCCCCAGCACACTCTTTTCTATAGGGGCGGGGCTTACTGGAGCCCCTTGATGGCGGCACCCAAGGGGAGAGCTGAAGATAGAGGAAGAAGGGAAGGAGGAATGATAGAAGGGAGGGAGGAAAGGAAAGAGAAGGATGAGGGAAAGAGGGAGGGAGGAGAGAAGGCAGGGAAGGCATGAAGGGAGAAAATGGGGGAAGAGAGAAGGAAGGGAGAGAAGGAGGACGGAGAGAGCCAAGGCTGACTCCAGGCCGTTGCCGGAAAACCCCCCCCCCCCATCCCAGTACGCATGCCCAGTGGTATCTTCTCCTTTTTTAGGATTTGTAAGTCCTTTTTTTGTTTTTTATTATTGATGGTCATACCTTGTATGATGAGGAGTTTTGTTGCCAAATTTGGTGGGTATTGGCCCAGCGGTTCTTTTGTTTTTAAGCCACTCATTACGACATGAGCATTTATATAAATATACATATACAAATACATTGCCTACCTTCATAACCTTTGAAAAGCCTTGCAGCTTAAAAGCCTGGCTTCTTCCTGCCTACAGGAAACCTTTTTGGGGAGGTGTTCCCTAGCCCAGATTGTTTCATGTCCAGGATTTCTGTTTTCTGAGGCCACAGCAATGCGTGGCCAGGGTACAGCTAGTAATATATAAGATTTGCCTTTCCCCAAATCTTTTCCTTCCTTCATCTCTTATTCTTTTTTCTTTATCCCCTCTCTCCCTTTCTTCCTTCCCCCCTTCCTTTCTTTTTTCTTTCCTTCCCACGTTCTCTATTTTCCTTTCTTTCTCCCTTCCTTTCTTTTTTTCTTTCTTCCTTCATACACATTTTTCATCCTTATTTCATTCCTTTCTCTTCCTTTCTTTCCTTCTGTCATTCGTTTTCCTCGTCATTCAATTCCTTTTTTTCTCCTTTCTCCTCCCTCCTTTCCCCTTTTTCTCCTTCCTTCCCGTCATCCACATGTCACCTAATATCAGTTATGTAGAGAGATTACTTCTTCAATGGTAAACGCAATGATTAATTTCCTCCCCTCTTTTTTTTCTTCCTTCCTGCAGTTGTGGAATACAAGATCGCAGACATGGGACACTTGAAATACTACTTGGCTCCAAAGATTGAGGATCAAGAAGAGTCTTAATCAAGAAAGAGGCGGTTTTTGGGAGGAAAAACAGAGTGGTTTGGTGAAAGGAAAGGTCTCCCTGCACTTAGGACCATTTGTAGATATTTCTCTGTAAATACATTCGTTTGTGCAAATAATAGTCTCTTCTCCCCCCCCCCCCCCTTTCACTTTTAGGCCCTGTTTGTTCTTGATTACTGAAACATTGACTCCCTTAAAGGGAAAGTACAGTATTTAAAAAGATGGGGTGCCCCCCCTTTTTTTTTGGTCAGAAGAGTCATAATAATGTTTGGAGAAACCTACTTTTTTACGTAGAAATCTTTCAAAAAAACCTAACGCTTGTCAATAAAGAATTACTGAGTTTTCTTACTCCGTGCTTTGCTTTTTGGCATCTTGGGCATCAGACAGTCCAACCTCTCCTGGTAGATGGCCACTCGGCCTCTTTAGAAGCTTTTTTACATTTATTGAGAACCATTTCCAATTTGGCAGGTGTAAAAGGTTCATTATCTAGTTGTCTGGCTATTGGTTTCCTTCCTACTTTCATAGAATCATAGAGTTGGAAGAGACCTCATGGGCCATCCAGTCCAACCCCCTGCCAAGAAGCAGGAATATTGCATTCAAATCACCCCTGACAGATGGCCATCCAGCCTCTGCTTAAAAGCTTCCAAAGAAGGAGCCTCCACCACACTCCGGGGCAGAGAGTTCCACTGCTGAACAGCTCTCACAGTCAGGAAGTTCTTCCTCATATTCAGATGGAATCTTGTTCTCCAGACCCTTTATCATTTTAGTGGCAAGGTTGGGTTTCCCATTCTTCAGAAGTTGGGTGTGCTATCTGATTTGCTTTTATGTTGACATGGGTATTCGTTTCATAGAATCATAGAGTTGGAAGAGACCTCATGGGCCATCCAGTCCAACCCCCTGCAAAGAAGCAGGAATATTGCATTCAAATCACCCCTGACAGATGGCCATCCAGCCTCTGTTTAAAAGCCTCCAAAGAAGGAGCCTCCACCACACTCCGGAGCAGAGAGTTCCACTGCTGAACGGCTCTCACAGTCAGGATACATAATAATACAGTATTAGTAGTAGTATAATAATACTGTAACTTCAGTAATAATAATACAGCTCTAATAATTAGGGGAGCGGGTTAAACCTTAAGCTTGCTGACCCAACGGTTGCAGATTTGAATCTGGGGAGCTGGGTGAGCTCCCACTGTTAGCCTTAGCTTCTGCCAACCTAGCAGTTCAAAAACAAAGCCCCTGGTGTCGCAGTGGGTGAAACCCCTGTGCTGGCAGGACTGAAGACCGACGGGTCGCAGGTTCAAATCCGGGGAGAGGCAGATGAGCTCCCTCTTATCAGCTCCAGTTCCTCATGGAGGGACATGAGAGAAGCCTCCCACAAGGATGATAAAATCATTAATTCATCCAGGTGTTCCCTGGGCAATATACTTGCGGATGGCCTATTCTCTCACACCAGAAGCAACTTGCAGTTTCTCAGGTCACTCCTGACACGACAAAAAAAGTTCAAAAACATGCAAATGTGAGTAGATCAATAGGTACTGCTCCTTGAAGGTAAGGGTTCTCCATGCAGTCATGAGTAGCCACATGACCTTGGAGGTGTCTACGGACAACACCGGCTCTTTGGCTTAGAAATGGAGAGAGTTGGACATGGCTAGACTTCATGTCAGGGGAAAACCTTTACCTTTTTATTTTTTAATATGGCAATATTATATAAAGGTAAAGGTTGTCCCCTGATATTAAGTCCAGTCATGTCTGACTCATCTCTATTTCTAAGCTGAAGAGTTGGCGTTGTCCATAGACACCTCCAAGGTCATGTGGCCGGCATGACTGCATGGAGCACCGTTACTATTATATTAGTATATAATATTATATACGAATATAATATTTGTATTATAATCTATATAAATAAAAATGTAATGTTTGTGATATTAACAGAACTCGAAAACCACTGGGAATTGACACCAAATTTGGACACGACACACCTTACACCCCAATGTATGTCCTTCACTCAAAAAAATTGATTTTGTCAGTTGGGAGTTGTAATTGCTGGGATTTATAGTTCACCTACAATCAAAGAGCATTCTGAACCCCACCAATGATGGAATTGGGCCAAACTTAGCACACAGGGCTCCCATGACCAACAGGAAAAACTGGAAAGGTTTGGTGGACATTGACCTTGAGTTTGGGAATTATAGTTCACCCACATCCAGAGAGCACTGTGGACTCAAACAATGATGGAGCTGGACCAAACTTGGCACGAATATTCCATATGCCCAAATATGAACACAGATGGAGTTTGGGGGAAATAGACCTTGACATTTGGGAGTTGTAGTTGCTGGGATTTATAGTTCACCTACAACCAAAGAGTATTCTGAACTCCACCAATGATGGAATTCAACCAAACATGGCATACAGGACTTCCATGACCAACAGAACACACTGGAAGGGTTTGGTGGGCACTGACCTTGAGTTTGGGAGTTGTAGTTCACCTACATCCAGAGATCACTGTGGACTCAAACAATGGTGGGTCTGGACCAAACTCTACACGAATACTCAATATGCCCAAATATGAACACTGGTGGAGTTTGGGGGAAATAGAATCTTGACATTTGGGAGTTGTAGTTGCTGGGATTTATAGTTCACCTACAATCACAGAGCATTCTGAACCCCACCAATGATAGATTTGGGCCAAACCTCCCACACAGAACCCTCAAATGGGCCACAGCAACGCGTGGCAGGGGACGGCTAGTATATTATATAATGCCACGGGGAAACCTTTCCCTTTTAATAATATTCCTAAATCCAGAAGATTTCCTACTAACAAGCAATGGTTCAATCATAATTGGAATGGGGGAAAAAAGCCATGCTCAGCGGCGACACCTGGCGGCCATTCGCTAAATAGCAGTCATTTCCTCCAAAGGAGGGTGGTGACCCGGAAACGCCTTGGGAGAAAGAATATCAACTTCCTGGGTCGACCCAGCTCTGCATCTGGGTCAGGAAGGAGGAAGGCTTCCATTAGGGAAGAAGTGATGAGCTGGGGAGCGACCTAAAGGTAGGAATAGAGGGTCTGCACGTGGGAATGGGCCCATACCCGTGTACAAGGCTGGGATGCGGGTCAGGAAAGAGCTGGAAGGGGGAGGGTCTGGTCTAATTGCAAACCAGGCTGTGAGGATGGTCTGAGTCAGAGTCTTGTCAGTAGCACTGGTAGTGTTATTGTATGCAGTAGAATAATTGTGCTACCTTGCTGCTCTTCAGAAGAAGGGGGTTTGGTTTGGTTTTCCTGCAAACTGCCTTTTGGAAGACAACTCGAATATCATAGAATCAAAGAGTTGGAAGAGACCTATGGGCCATCCAGTCCAACCCCCTGCCAAGAAGCAGGAATATTGCATTCAAATCACCCCTGACAGATGGCCATCCAGCCTCTGCTTAAAAGCTTCCAAAGAAGGAGCCTCCACCACACTCCGGGGCAGAGAGTTCCACTGCTGAACGGCTCTCACAGTCAGGAAGTTCTTCCTCGTGTTCAGATGGAATCTCCTCTCTTGTAGTTTGAAGCCATTGTTCCGCGTCCTAGTCTCCAGAGCAGCAACAAGCTTGCTCCCTCCTCCCTATGACTTCCCCTCACATATTTATACATGACCCTCATCATGTCTTCTCTCAGCCTTCTCTTCTTCAGGCTAAACATGCCCAGCTCTTTAAGCCGCTCCTCATAGGGCTTGTTCTCCAGACCCTTGATCATTTTAGTCGCTCTCCTCTGGACACATTCCAGCTTAGAGTCAACATCTCCCTTCAATTGTGGTGCCCAGAATTGGACACAATATTCCAGGTGTGGTCTAACCAAAGCAGAATAGAGGGGTAGCATGACTTTCCTAGATCTAGACACTATGCTCCTATTGATGCAGGCCAAAATCCCATTGGCTTTTTTTGCTGCCGCATCACATTGTTGGCTCATGTTTAACTTGCCATCCACGACGACTCAAGATCTTTTTCACACGTACTGCTCTCAAGCCAGGCATTGTCCCCCATTCTGTATCTTTGCATTTAGTTTTTCCTGCCTAAGTGGAGTATCTTGCATGTGTCCCTGTTGAACTTCATTTTGTTAGTTTTGGCCAATCATCTCTCTAATCTGTCAAGATCATTTTGAATCCTGCTCCTGTCCTCTGGAGTACTGGCTATCCCTCCCAATTTGGTGTTGTCTGCAGACTTGATGATCCTGCCTTCTAACCCTTCATCTAAGTCATTAATAAAGATGTTGAACAGGACTGGGCCCAGGACAGAACCCTGCGGCACTCCACTTGTCACTTCTTTCCAAGATGAAGAGGAAGCATTGGTGAGCACTTTTCATCCTGGAAAGAAATGGTGTGTGGTTTGCTCTTCTCCACACTCACATGTTGTGGATTCCACTTAGTAGCCCAGTTTCTTAAGGTTGGCTCTGCATCTTGTGGGCTTGAGAGAGAAGTATCCAAATATGCCATTCTACTACGTAGCTTTGCACCTCAATCTAAAGATAAAAGCAGGATGCCAATAATAATAATAATAATAATAATAATAATAATAATAATGATGATGATGATTCAGAGATGATTCCCAGACACTTGGACTTAATGTGTATGGGTGTGGTGTTATGTACCTGTAAATAGTAGTAATAATAATAGACATATGAACCATCTAGGACCTTAAAATTGTCTGAGGAGGCCCTGCTCTTGTTAGCACCTTCGTCACAAGTACGTTTGGCGGAGACGAGAGACCGGGCCTTCTCAGTGGTAGCCCCTTGGCTGTGGAATGCCCTCCCTATAGATATTAGATCGGCCACCTCCCTTTTAACATTCTGGAAAAAGGTCAAGACGTTGCTTTTTGAACAAGCATTTGCAAATGCAGAGTAACTGACACAGGAAAATGGAACAACTAGACAATGAGTCCGGACGACGTTTTTAACAAGGAGACACTATGAATTTATATTTTATTGATTTGTTTAGTTTTTATTATATGTTATGTTTTTAATTGTATTTAAGACATTGTAAGCATTGCATTTTGCCCTGTTAACCGCCTTGAGTCGCCTGCGGGCTTATTTATTTATTTCTCGTGTCAGGGCAGCCAGTCAAATTATATTACATTTCTAACAGAACAAAGCAAACAAACAGAGAAAATACAAAATGTGTGAGTTTGGTAGTTGGTTAAATGTCCTTTGACCAGTATCTGGCCACTTGGAGTGCTTCTGGTGTTGCTGCAAGAAGGTCCTCCATTGTGCATGTAGCAGGGCTCAGGGTGCATTGCAGCAGGTGGTCAGTGGTTTGCTCCTCTCCACACTCACATGTCAAGGATTCCACTTTGTGGCCCCATTTCTGAAGGTTGGCTCTGCATCTCGTGGTGCCAGAGTGCAGTCTGTTCAATGCCTTCCAAGTCGCCCAGTTTTCTGTGTGCCCAAAGGGGAGTTTCTTATTTGGTATCAGCCATTGGTTGAGGTTCTGGGTTTGAGCCTGCCACTTTTGGACTTTCGCTTGCTGATGTGTTCCAGCGAGTGTCTCTGTAGATCTTAGAAAACTATGTCTGGATCTAAGTCGCTGGCATGCTGGCTGATACCCAAACAGGGGATGAGCTGGAGATGTCTCTGCCTTGGTCCTTTCACTATTGGCTGCAACTTCCCGGCGGATGTCAGGTGGTGGAATACCGGCTAAGCAGTGTAATTTCTCCAGTGGTGTAGGGCGCAGACACCCCGTGATAATGCGGCATGTCTCATTCAGAGCCACATCCACTGTTTTAGTGTGGTGAGATGTGTTCCACACTGGGCATGCATACTCAGCAGCAGAGTAGCACAGCAAAAGGGCAGATGTCTTCACTGTATCTGGTTGTGATCCCCAGGTTGTGCCAGTCAGCTGACTGGCCTGCGGGCTGAGTAGAATGGTATACAAATACAGCAAGTAAATAAATACATACATACATACATACATACATACATACATACATAAAACAAATGCACGTCCCAGGCTTCACTCTGTCCAGCATGCCCACCCTTCTTTCCACTTCTGGCTTCCAATGGACTGTTGCAGAGGAAGGACTTCTCAGTGTAGTGGGATCCTGGATGTTAAGGACTCAATGGAAGTAGTGTCAAAGTGGGTTAACCCTGGCAGTGTAGACACAGTTTGGAGCCTTTGCTATGTTTCCCAGGCTGCAGGCGAGTGCTCCGCCGGCCGAGAAGATGCCCTCCCGCACCAGCTTGGCTGCCTCCGCCCCCAGCAGCAAGGTCAAGTACTCCAAGCTCAGCTGCAATGACGATGGGTACATCGACCTACAGGTAAGCAATGCGTTGGCTCTCTTCCCAAAAGGGGAACCCCATGAGCCAAGCGTGTAATATATACAACTGAACGTGAGCCAGAAGCGGCTTTCTTTTTATTCCTCCAGAAGCGGCTTTCTTCCCAAACAATATTTGCAAGTGCTTGATTCCGGGATCATTGCACTTTCCTCCTATTTGGGACAGAGAGCCGAGCAATTGCTGCTGAGGCTGACTTCTTCATCTTCTCCTCCTTTTCAGTTCAAGAAGAGCCCCCCCAAGATCCCCTACAAGGCCATTGCACTGGCCACCCTCCTCTTCCTGATCGGGACCCTACTCATCGTCATCGGGGGCCTCCTCCTCGCAGGATACATCAGCCACGCGGTATGTCCCTCCCACCTCCAGGCCACTCTTCCCCATTCTGGGGCTAGATTGGATGGCCTTTGGGGGTCCCTTCAAGTCTAGAATATTATATATTTTTATTATTTTTATTGTATAATACATAGAAACATACCATCTTTGAAACTAACATTAAAAATACCAGTATTATCCCAAATCCCACCACCACCACCACCACCATAACCCTCCCCCCCGCCCCCAAGGAACAGTTAAGTACTTTTGCTGTGTTTATTACAATTGTTCAGTCATGAGAATAGTCTTATTTAACACCGTATATTTATCTTTCCGCTTTATTCTGTACTAGCTTGGAGACCTGGTGCTTCCCGGGTTATTAGAGAAAGTGGGTGATGGCGGTTCTGTATGCCAAGTTTGGTCTTTATTGGTCATTGGATGACGGTTGCATTGTTTTCAGGAAGTGAGTGAAGGTAATTGGAGTCCCATCATCCATGGTCCACCCTCCTCCAAACAGCAGCAGGATATAGAGTGGGTCATGGGGGCTCTGTGTGCCAAGTTTGGTCTTTATCAGTCATTGGATGAGGGTGACAGTGGTTTCAGTAAGTGAGTGAAGGTACTGCAAGTCCCATCATCCAATGTCCACCCTCCTTCAGACTGCAGCAGGATGTAGAGTGGGTCATGGGGTCTCTGTGTGCCAAGTTTGGTCTTGATCAGTCATTGGATTAAGGTCGCAGTGGTTTCAGTAAGTGAGTGAAGGTACTGCAAGTCCCATAATCCATGATCCACCCTCCTCCAAACTGAAGCAGGATGTAGATAGGGTCATGGGGACTCTGTGTGCCAAGTTTGGTCTTGATCAGTCAATGGTTCAGGGTCGCAGTGCTTTCAGTAAGTGAGTGAAGGTACTGCAATTCTACAAACACTTCCTCTGCATACTCGCATACACACATACACGCATGCAAACACTCTCTTTTATTATATATATAGATATAGAATATAGATATGAGACTCTTCCATTTTGCTTCCCATGTCCTTCTGTTTTGACCCATCATATAGTAACTTTTCCTTTCACTAATATAATCTTGGAGAAGATAATCGGCTAGATATTTATACCAAGTTTTTATATCCCATTTCTTGTGGCCCTTCCAGCCCAGGGCCACTCAGGCTTTGATTGCCTCTATCATGTGATTAATTATTTCCTCACTTTCTTTATATTCCCCTTTACTTTCCCATTTCTGGGTGAAAAATTGAGTCTTGTTCCATTCTATATTTATTCCTAATAGCTCCTCCATTTCCTTCCTGATTATTTCTTGGAACTTTTGGATTTTTTCGCATTCCCACCACATGTGGGCGTATGTTCCTATTTTTCTGCAGTTGTGCCAACATAATTTTGGGCACGTTTTCATAACATGCGTCAATTCCATGGGAGTTCTGTACCATTTTGTCAGTATTTTCCATTGCATTTCTTTAATCTTTAGGTGTTTTATTTTTTTGATTGAATTTATCCAATTGCCTGTTTCTCTCTCAATGTAACTTAATTCCTTCTTCCAGACGTCTATTAGGGTAGATTTTGTATTTCAGTGATTATTTTATATATAAATCCCATGATTCCTTTCTCCTTCTCAACTTTCCATTTTATTATTTTGTTGAGATTTGTTTCTGAAATTTCCTTAGTCTTCAATTCTGTTAGCTTTTTAGACAGCCCTCCCCATTGTAACCAATTTCCAAGCCCACATTTAGAATATTATATATATCACACACACACACCTGACTTACAAATGACTCAGTTGAGAATGGGGCTGGACTGGATGGCCTTTGGGACATCCTTCCAAATCTATGATATCTCTCTCAGACAGACAGATAGATAGTGTGTGCACAGTCTCCAAGTTACGAACATCCGACCTACAAACAACTCTTAGACAACAGGAAGTGGGGGAAATTTACTCCCAGAAAGAGTAGTTATTATTATCCTGGGGAAAGGTCCCTCCCCTGAAGCTTCTTCACTCTCAGTCCTTGTTTCCACAACAAGCCAACTCTAGGGTGGTGTGCTAGATCGAATCTATACAGGCCGTCCCCAAGTTACGAACAAGATCAGTTGTGCAGGTTTGTTCTCAAGTGGAATTTGTATGGAAGTCGGAAGAGGTGCATTTCTTTGGAGAGCAGACTTCCCCTCCCTGTAAGAATGGGATTTTGCAATACTTAGCTTGTTGTTCAAACAAGGATTGGAGATCAGCTTCATTGGAGACCCCTTCTCCCCAACAACTCTTCCAGGAATGGTTTTCTTTTCCTAAAAGTACATTCTTCTCCCTTACTGTTGTCTCAGCCCCATTGTTCTTAACTAGGAATTGTTTGCAAGTCGGATGTTCTCAACTTGGGTGGGGGGGAGGGAGGGTGTAGTGGCCTGTATATATATATATAATAATAATATAATAATGCCAGCAATACATCATATAAAACAATACTTATAATATATAATACAAGATTCCTCTCCCTTTCTGTTGCCTCAGTCCCGTTCTGAAATAAGAGTTGTTTGTAAGTTGTGTGTTTGTAACTTGGGGGCGGTCTGTACAGATCTTGAGCATTTAAAGGCAAGCGTCTCCTCCTCCTCCTTCCCCTTCTCCTCCCTGCTTCTCATCTTTCTCCTCCTCCTCCTTTGTCTTTCTCCTTCTCCTCCCTCTCATGATTCTCTTTATTCTCCTCCTTTCCCATCTTCCCATTATCCTTCTCCTCTTCTTTCTCCTAATTCTTCTCCTTCTCCTCCTTTCTTCTTCTCTTTCCCTTCTCTTTCTCCTCCTACTTCCTCTCCTACCTCATCTTATCCTTCTCCTTTTTCCCTCCTTCTTCTCCTTCTCTTCCTTCTACTTCCTCTCCTTCTCTTTCTTCTTTTCCTCCTCCCCCCTCCCCCGTTCTCCTCTCTTTCTTTCTCCTTCTCATCTTTCTCCTCCTCCTCCTCCTTTGTCTTTCTCCTTCTCCTTTCTCTCATGATTTTCTTCTCTTCCTTCCTCATCTTCTCTTTCATCTACTCCTCTTTCTTCTTTTTGCCTCATTCTCCTCCTTTCTTCTTCTCTTCCCCTTCTTCACTTTCTCCTCCACCTTTCTCTCATGCCTCATTTTGTACTCCTTTTTCCTTCTCCGTCTTCTTTTCCTCCCCCTCCTCCTCTCTTTCTTTTTCCTTCTCATCTTTCTCTTCCTCCTTCTCCTTTGTCTTTCTCCTTCTCCTCCTTCCTCTCATGATTCTTTCTTCTCTTCCTTCCCCATCTCCTCCTCCTCCTCCTTTTTCCTCCTCATTCTCCTCCTTTCTTCTTCTCTTCCCCTTCTTCACTTTCTCCTCCTATCTTCCTCTCATGCCGCATCTTATCCTCCTCCTTTTCTCCTTCTCTTTCTTCTTTCCCTCCTTCTCATTTTCTCCTCTGTGCAGGGCACCGACCGCGCCATCCCGGTCCTGATCATCGGGATCCTGGTTTTCCTGCCTGGCTTCTACCATTTGCGTATTGCGTACTTTGCCGCCAAGGGCTACCGGGGCTATTCCTACGATGACATCCCCGACTTCGACGACTAGCAAGGGGAGCCATTGCGGACCTTCCTTGGATCCCCAACGAGATGCAGGAAGGAGAGGCTCGGCCTTGAAAGCAAAGCCTGGACCGTAACGCCATCCGTTTCTTGGGACGTTTTGGGTTTTCCTTCCAGTTTCCCTTTATGTCACAAAACCCAGAATCACGCAAAGCCAATCTTGGGACAGGTTTCTCCTTTCAGAAGGGAAGTCCACCGAGATATATATGTGTGTGCGTGTGTGCGTGTAGCCATGCCTCTCAAACAAAACCCAGAGGAAAGCAAAACTTTGGTTTTGAAATTAGAGGTTTTTGCTGCTTTTGTTTTGGACGACCCCTGAAAAAGCCACTTTTATGAGTTGCAAAACATCACAATGCCCAACTGCTTGAAATGCAGGAAAAGTGGATTCAGAGCACAGCTTGCAACTGTCATATTCACTAACATTTCAATAAGGCCAAATGCTGCAATACTCAGAAAACCGAGTCCTTGTCCGCACTGCATTATACGAGCTAAACTGCATTATATATATATCTGAGTCTGCACTGACCATGTAATGCAGTTTCAAACAGTACAGGCGGGAGCTAAATCCCTGGCTTTGAAACACATAACATTTTGGTTGTCTTACCTAGAGTAAGCTTGTTGCACAATTAATTGGCTCTAGTTCATACTAATAATAGGTTAAAGGATATACGCCGAGTCCAGGGAGAGATGCAGGACAGCCCTGCCCTTGGAAGTATTGTTTATATAGGATGCTAGTGTTGTTTGCCTGGTTTGGGGATCACAAAGGACTCCCAGAGAAGGGGAAAGACCTATAGCAGGCATGGGCCAACTTGGGCCTTCCCTCCAGGTGTTTTGGACTGCAATTCCCATCATTCCTAACAGCCTCAGGCCCTTTCCTTTTCCCTCTCAGCCGCTTAAGCGGCTGAGAGGGAAAAGGAAGGGGCCTGAGGCTGTTAGGAATGGTGGGAGTTGCAGTCCAAAACACCTGGAAGGAGGGCCCAAGTTGGCCCATGCCTGGCCTATATTGTCAGTCAGTGACATGCAAACATTGTAGGATTTTGGATATATTTTTATGCACTTCCCTGCAAAATAAAACTCCTTCATGCATATATTTCTATTTGGGGTGCCGCTCTTCGGGTTTGCAAAATCTGCCGCTCTCCTTCCGAACGAGCCCAGGAAAGGCCAACCATAAACATTTATAGCGAAGTCTGCTTTTCAAGTTTGCATTTGAAGCTATGCAAGGCGGCTGCACTTCTGTCCATGTGTTCATTCCAGCTCTTCGTCAGCATTGATCTTTTGATTTCGATGTATATTCACCTTGGAGTATTCAAGAGGGCATCCGGGTGCCCAGAGAAAGTAACTTGCAGCTGCAGAAATATGCATTTAGTATGAATAAAGCACATAATGATATTCTTACCATTGCCTGGCACGCTTTTTTCAAGCTGCGGTGGTCTTGGAAAACTGGAGGATTACATGGTCCGTCTATTATTATTGTTCACTAGCTGTATCCACCAATTTATTTTTTTATTTACAGTATTTATATTCCGCCCTTCTCACCCCAGAAGGGACTCAGGGCGGATTACAATGTACATATTTATTATTTATTTGTTTACCGTATTTATATTCCACCCTTCTCACCCCGCAAGGGACTCAGGGCGGATTACAATGTACATATTAGTATTTATTTATTTATAGTATTTATAGTATTTATATTCTGCCCTTCTTACCCCAAAAGGGACTCAGAGCGGATTACAATGTACATATTTATTATTTATTTATTTACAGTATTTATATTCCGCCCTTCTCACCCCGGAAGGGACTCAGGGCGGATTACAATGTACATATTTATTATTTATAGTATTTATATTCCTGCTGAGCTTGTTGACCCAAAGGTTGCAGGTTCGAATCCGGGGAGTGGCGTGAGCTTCTGCTGTCAGCCCCAGCTTCTGCCAACCTAACAGTTAAAAACATGGAGTGAATAGATCAATAGGTACTGCTCCAGCGGGAAGGTAACCACATTCCATGCAGTCATGCCAGCCACATGACCTTGGAGGTGTCTATGGACAACGCAGCTCTTCGGATTAGAAATGGAGATGAGCACCAGAGTTGGACACGACTGGACTTAATGTCAGGGGACAACCTCTACCTTTACCTATGTTCACTGTTATGCTTCAGTGAACTTCCCCCACAGGACCCTGCTAAAGTAAACTCAGATTCCCCTAAATGGAGTGTCATTATTTCCACATGTAGAATATGCAGCTGACTTGGCCACGGTGGTCCACACTCTTGTTACATCCCTAATAGACTACTGCAACGCACTCTACATGGGGTTGCCTCTGAAGACTGCCCGGAAGCTTCAACTAGTCCAACGCTCCGCAGCCAGGTTGCTCACCGGAGCTGGGTATAGGGAGTGCACAACATCCTTGTTACGTCAGCTCCACTGGTTGCCTATTAGCTTCTGAGCACAATTCAAAGTTCTGGCTTTGGCCTATAAAAGTCCTGAACGATTCTGGCCATTTAATTATCTGAATGTATCTCCCACTACAATCCACCTAGGGCCCTGAGATCATCCGGGGAGACCCTGCTCGTTGTCCCCCCATTATCGCAATCGCGTTTGGTGAAGACAAGGGACAGGGCCTTTTCTGTGGTGGCCCCTCGGCTATGGAACTCCCTCCCAAGTGAAATTAGATCCGCTGCATCCCTCTTGACCTTTCGGAAACAAGTGAAATCCTGGCTATGGGATCAGGCCTTTGTAGATTAGGTTGACCTGCTGATGTGATGACTTTTATGGAACTGACTGACTACTCCTTGGACGATGACTTAAACCGGCGACTGTTGACTGTTTGATTGTTTTTTATACTATTTTATACTGTTCTATTGCTAAATTGTTATTTAAATTGTATATTTATGTTTTTGGTTGTGGGCATCATGGGGTGCCGATTTTTTAGCCGCCCTGAGTCCCTCTGTGGAGGTTGAGATAGGACGGGATACAAATGTCCAAAATAATATTTATTATTATTATTATTATTATATTATTATTATTATTATTATTATTATTATATTGTGATTTTGTGATATGAAATCAGCATACAGATCTCGTGTGCTGTGACATACTGTGTTTTTGTGTCAGTAAAATAATAATAATAATAATAATAATAATAATAATAATAATAATAATAATAATAGAGTTTTGGAGCACAATACTCCTGACCTCACAATCGTGTTAAAAAACAAAGTATGGATTGTTGATGTCGCAATTCCAGGTCACAGCAGGATTGAAGAAAAACAACCGGAAAAGCTGACACGATATGAGGATTTAAAGATCAAACTGCAAAGATTCTGGCACAAGCCAGTCAAGGTGGTCCCAGTGGTGATCGACACACTGGGTGCAGTGCCAATCAGTGAATTCACCAACTTCACTAAATGTGCAAGGGAGCACAAACGGAATTTACATAATGAATGATACCGAAGAGGGGGAAATGTGCATGCGATCACTAGTCTGAAGACCTTGGTCTGCACTTAAACACAATCGGCGCTGACAAAATCACCATCTGCCAGCCGCAAAAGGCCATCTTACTGGGATCAGCACGCATTCGTCGCCGATACATCACACAGTCCTAGACACTTGGGAATTAAAACTTGTGCGCCAGCTGTGCCCATACCTTGGGAAGTCAGATCTGGCCACGGTGGTCCACGCTCTTGTTACATCCCGATTAGATTACTGCAACGCACTCTACGTGGGGTTGCCTTTGAAGACTGTTCGGAAACTCCAACTAGTCCAGCGAGAGGTGGCCAGAGTACTTACAGGAGCGTCATACAGGGAGCATACCACCCCCCTGTTGTGCCAGCTCCACTGGCTGCCGATCCAATTCCGAGCACAATTCAAAGTGCTGGTTTTGACCTACAAAACCCTATACGGTTCCGGCCCAGTGTATCTGTCCGAACGGATCTCCCTCTACGTCCCACCTCGGAGTCTAAGATCTTCTGGGGAGGCCCTGCTCTCGACCCCGCCTCTATCGTAAGTGAGATTGGCGGGGATGAGGAGCAGGGCCTTCTCGGTGGTGGCCCCTCACCTGTGGAATTCACTCCCCGGGGAAATTAGATCAGTGACATCCCTCCTTTCCTTCAGGAAAAAATTGAAAACATGGATGTGGGACCAGGCATTTGGACAACCGGGCAGATAAAGAAGGTCGACGATGGACAGGAATTGACAAAGTGGAATGGAATTATGGAACTCTGAAAGACGAATGCTGAGCTTGAGATTAGTTTTTATTGATTGTGTTATATACTGACTGTTTTAACTGTGTTAATTGTTTGATTGCTGTTTTTATATGTATGTGTATTCTATGTAGGCATCGATTGGTGGTGTTTTGTAAACCGCCCTGAGCCCCCCATCGGGGGTTGAGAAGGGTGGGGTAAAAGTACCCGAAATAAATAAATAAGTGTCCGACGTGTGATCCAATACAACAGCCAGCAGAGTGTCTGCTGTGGACTCATCTTGTTGTGTTTATAATAATAATAATAATAATAATAATAATAATAATAATAATAATAATAATAAATATTATATTTTGATACGAAATCCAGCATATAGATCTCATTTGCTGTGACACACTGTGCTTTTGTGTCAGTAAAATAATAATAATAATAATAATAGTAATAGCCATCACCAGCAACTGGTGCTGAGAGCTAAGCTACACTTTCCATTCACATACACTGGAGTGCAGCCATGAATCTGTCTAAAAGCAATCTTTTATTACAGCTTCTGACAACATATAAAACAGGATTTTAAAAAGGACAATGGGCAATCTTAAAAACGCTCATATTTCAATCTTGCAGAATACAAAAGGCCCTAGTAGCAAACTCTTTCATAAAGGGAGAAGACGGATCTCCCTGCACATACAACCTTAAATAGAAAACAGCATCACATTGATATGACGGTCCTCATGTCCAATCAGAAGGGTCCAAGAAGCACAGGGTCAAGTCCTTCAAATGATTTGTTTCAGAAGAGCAAGAAAACAAGACAGGCAAGTATTCACTTGATTTTAATTCTCCAAGTGGCCTCGAGAATGATCTGCCTCGCTTGAAGCTGCCAACATCTTGCATTGCAGTTCGGGCACAAGGGCTAACCTGTAAAGCTGCTGATGGAGTGCTTTGTGATTTTGCCTCCGACCGAGTTAGTAGCTTCAGAAGTGATCTAAGGGCACTGGCCTTAAATCCGAAGGCAATAGGAGACATCCTAACAAAACCTGTGGACCTCTGGGTGGAGGGTTGATATCAAGACAAGGGAGACAAGCGGGTCTTGGAAAAGGCACATATCATGGAAGGACCCCTTGCTAACTGCACGGAGACTTACCCACTTCCACGCCAACTTTCAACTGAAATAACCTTCATTTATTGTTAGATCTTTGGAACTATATTCTAAGACAGACTTCTGATATTAAATCATGCGGATGGGTGATGGATGGGAGGCCAAACAGCATCATGGAGGGACATGCAATTTCTATTAATTTATTTTGCATGGTTATCTGCTTCGTCCCATATTAAATCCACATCCTCTGATGCAAACAAGCCTTAGGAGTCTTTCTATGGTGAACATGGAGATCCTGGTGGTGCAAGCGGACAAATGTCAGCATGCTGGAAGAAACAAAGACCACCAGCATTGAAGCTATAGTCCTCCGCCATCAACTCTGCTAGACCAGCCACATTGCCTGGATGCTCGACCACCATCTCCCTAAGCAGTTGCTCTACTCCAAACTCAAGAACGGAAAACTGAATGTTGGTGGGCAGGAAAAGAGATTTAAAGATGGGCTCAAAGCCAACCTTAAGAACTCTGGCATAGACACTGAGAACTGGGAAGTCCTGGTCCTTAAGCGCTCCAGCTGGAGGTCAGCTGTGACCAGCAGTGCTGTAGAATTTGAAGAGGCACGAATGGAGGGCGAAAGAGAAAAATGTGCCAAGAGGGCGCGTCAAGCCAACCCCGACTGGGACCGCCTCCCACCTGGAAACCAATGCCCTCACTGCGGGAGAACATGCAGGTTAAGAATAGGGCTCCACAGTCACCTAGGGACCCACCGCCAGTAGACAATCCTACTTGGACAACGAGGGATTGCCTAAGTAAGTAAAGTAAACCCTTGTTCCAGCAGGACTGCAGACCGAAAGGTCGGCAGTTCAAATCCGGGAAGCAGGGTGAGCTCCCATCTGTCAGTTCCAGCTTCCCATGCAGGGACATGAGATAAGCCTCCCACAGGATGGTAAAATATCCGGACATCCCCTGGGCAACATCCTTGCAGACAGCCAATTCTTTCACACCAGAAGTGACTTGCAGTTTCTCAAGTTGCCCCTGACATGAAAAAAAAGTGGACATGTTGCAGCCATCAGAGGCCACCAAAGTCACTTGCGCTTCCTGTTTCCAAGCTCAGTTGGCCACTTAACTGGGTTACTAGTCTGGAGTAATATCTCTTCTGTCCCAATGGATGCAACCTTGCTAACCATCACTCTGCGGGGATTTCCTCATCATGTCTGTTTAAGCTGAAAGGTCGGCGGTTCAAATCCGGAGAGCAGGGTGAGCTCCCACCTGTCAGCTCCAGCTCCTCGTGCGGGGACACGAGAGAAGCCTCCCAAAAGCATGGTAAAAACATTAAAACATCTGGCCGTTCCCTGGGCAACGTCCTTGCAGACAGCCAATTCTCTAACACCAGAAGCGACTTGCAGTTTCTCAAGTCGCTCCTGACACAATAATAATAATAATAAATATTATTATTTATTATTATTATTTATTACATGACCAAAAAAAAGCTGACATTAGCTGCAAAAGATTTCCTTCCTTTATGCTTGACCATAATAATAATAAAAAATATTTATTATTATTATTATTTATTACATGACCAAAAAAAAAATAAAGAAAAGCTGACATTAGCTGCAAATGACTTCCTTCCTTTATGCTTGACCAAGTGCTTTACCTATGCCCAAGGATATTCCCTTTAAAAAAATACCTTCATCTTGAAGAAAGGCAGACTTCAAATCAGTCTTCATCAATTCGGAGTAAGAAGTAACTGGAATTGTTACTACCGCGTTTCAACCTCTGCTGGCATCAGATGGGCAATGGCCCCTGAAATGTGACGTGTTTTGAAAAGATGCATCTGCGACTTTCTTTTTTACGCAACTTCCCTGTTTTCCAAGAGACATCCTGTTGAGTCTTGAGCCTTTACGAAGGTCCATGTGGATGGCAACTCACAGCTTAACAAGACTTGTCTTTCCAGCTGAGCTTAGGGGCTTCTGAGCATTAAGTGAGCTCTGTACCTTTGATTTCGGTGTGCGCCAAATCAGTGCCATTTAATTGTCCCTCCTGGGGTAGACCTGGTTGGGAAATGAAAAAGAACCTGTGGTTTGGAGGTGGCAAAGTCATGCAGACGAAAGCAGTCGCTACAAAAACATTTTGTGCTTATAGCAGGCCTACCAAAAGAAATTGGCTATAGACCAGGCATGGGCAAACTTTGGCCCTCCAGTTGTTTTGGACTTCAACTCCCACAATTCCTAACAGCCTCATGCCCCTTTCCTTTCCCCCCTCAGGGTCAGGTGTTAGCTGGCCCTGGTTGGTTCATGTCTGGACTTCCCCTGTTTGTTCATTTTCATGGGGACCTATCCTGATTTTACTTCTGTAAAAACGGTAAGACACTGGAGCCAGATTGCTAAATCAAAAGAATTTAAATATTTTGACTATGGACACGAGAACAAAGTTGTGTATAATATGACTAAGCCTCCTTTTTATAAAATAGTTGGTTGTGCCAACAGCTGTATGGACCGGTGGGAATAATAATAATAATAATAATAATAATAATAATAATAATAATTTATTTATTTACTTTGCTTATATACTGCTGTATCTCAAGCCCGAAGGCGACTCACAGCGGTTCACAAACAGTAAAAACAGTAGAAACAGCAGTGGTTCCATACAACATATAACAATTGACTTAACACATTATCCATAAATTACCAATAAGCAATTACAATGCACAATTATTACAAAAAACAACCGTACCCAATCGTCTCATCATCCAAGCGTAGTCCAGGTTCATCGTCCATTGTTCCATTCCTATGTTCATTACCAATCATTGCACTAATTATTCGAACGCCTGCACAAACAGCCAGGTCTTCACCTTTTTGCGGAATACCATTAGAGATGGTGCTAGTCTAATGTCCGTAGGAAGGGCGTTCCACAGCCGAGGAGCCACCACCGAGAAGGCCCTATCTCTCGTCCCCGCCAGCCGTGCTTGAGAAGCAGGCGGGATCGAGAGCAGGGCCTCCCCGGAAGATCTCAAAGTCCTGGTGGGTTCATAGGCAGAGATGCGGTCAGATAGGTAGCTTGGGCCGGAACCGTTTAGGGCTTTAAAGGCCAACGCCAGCACTTTGAATTCAGCCCGGTAGCAGATCGGTAGCCAGTGGAGTTGGCGCAACAGTGGGGTTGTATGCTCCCTGCGCTCCGCTCCTGTTAAAAATCATGGCTGCCGAGCGTTGGACTAGTTGGAGCTTCCGAGCTGTCTTCAAAGGCAACCCCACGTAGAGAGCGTTGCAGTAGTCTAAACGGGATGTAACCAGAGCGTGGACTACCGTGGCCAAGTCAGACTTCCCGGCGTACAAACTTTAGCTGTGCATAATAATAATAATAATAATAATAATAATAATAATAATAAATGCAGACTGTGCAAGGAAGCTGATGAAACCATGGATCATATCCTCAGCTGTTGCAAGAAAATCGCAGAGACTGACTACAAACAAAGACACAACTCTGTGGCCCAGATGATTCACTGGAACTTTTGTCACAAGTACCACCTGCCAGCAGCAAAGAATTGGTGGGATCATAAACCCGCAAAGGTCGTGGAAAATGAACATGCAAAAATACTGTGGGACTTTCGAATCCAGACTGACAAAGTTTTGGAACACAATACACCAGACATCACGATTGTGGAAAAGAAAAAAGTCTGGATTATTGATGTCGCCATACCAGGTTTGGCGCATTGAGGAAAAACAACAAGAAAAACTCAGCCATTATCAGGACCTCAAAATTGAACTGCAAAGGCTCTGTCCATCAACCAGTACAGGTGGTCCCAGTAGTCATTGGCGCACTGGGCGTTGTGCCAAAAGATCTCAGTCGGCATTTGGAAACAATAAACATCGACAATCACGATCTGTCAACTGCAAAAGGCCACCTGACTTGGATCTGTGTGCATCTTTCAAAAATACATCACACAGTCCTAGACGCTTGGGAAGTGTTCGACTTGTGATTTTGTGATACAAAATCCAGCATATAGATCTTATTTTCTGTGACATACTGTGCTTTTGTGTCAGTCAAATAATAATAATAAAAAAACTTTATTTATACCTCGCCACCATCTCCCCACGGGGACTCGGAGCAGCTTACATGAGGCCAAGTCCAACAACACATCAGTAAAAACAACAAGCAATAAGCAAATAAACAATACAATTAATATAACTCACATATAGACAATAACATACAAAGATTTAAAAACCTATGGAAGGATATTATTGCAAATTCAAAGGACATAGAAGAATTGCTGCCTCGAACCACTAATTTAGTTTTCTACAAAAATATGCTGATTTCCTTTGGGGTCTTGATGCTCCCAACCAACTTTATACTGATGCGCTTGAGCTGATGCAGAAATATAAATTAAAAACTTAACATACACTGACAAATTGCATGTATTACATGCCAACAATGAAACTTTATTTCCATATTCTGTCAGAAAACATCTTTTCACACAACTCCTGAATTATACATTAATGGAAAATATGAGTTTACTTACTACAGGGTGCAGCAGCATAACTTCCTTTTTTCAAAACTTAATAAAACCCATTGTATGAATCAGAAAAAAATATATAATGTGGGCGCATACCTAAAGTTTTGTTTTACATAGTTTTGAAGATCAAATTAGGTAGGTGACGTCCCCCATTCTCCACTCCCCATACACTGAGTAAACCGATTTCTGGTATTTGTCATGACTCTTGTCAGCATAGCATGTGTTATGTTGGCAATTTCTTACTGGATGTTGGTCTTCAAATCTTGTAGGGTCCTTGGACGGTTCACATAAACATGGGATTTCAAAACACCCCATAGAAAAAAATCACAAGGGGCCAAATCTGGAGAGTGGTTGGCCACTCTAAACCCACTCGAAAAGTTGGCCGCAACGGCAAAAGCACGCTCCTCACTGTTCCAACGCAGGATGGCAACTGAACTGTGTCAGGACACAACTTTATACTCCCGCCTCTCGAACGAGACCACTAGCGCTCCACTACGTCTTCAACCGACTGAATGGCGCGCATTTTAAAAAGGGAAGTTATGCTACTGCACCCTGTATTTATTACTATTTTTTCTCTGGTTAGTCCCACCTGTAAACCTGCACCAGGCAGCAAATTTGTAAAGCATAACAAAGACACTTCTTTTACTCGAATGGACTCAACATTGCTGATATGTTGTGTATTGCTTTTCTCTGTGTATATCACCATTCTGTCTGTTTGAAAGGCCGCCTTAAGTCGCCTTCGGGCTGAGAAAGGCGGAATAGAAATACTGTAAATAAATAAATAAATGGTGTCCATGAAAATGAACAAAATCTGGCCACCAGTATTAAAAAACTCAGGACAGTAAATAAAGAGCAACACTCAAAAAGCAGGGGAATTTCAGACAAGAATCAATCAGGGCCAGCTAACACCTCCAAACTAAGGATTCCTCTAGGTAGCAATCAGCCAGGCTTTGAAGCTGCAAGGCCATTCAATGCTAATCAAGGTGGCCAAGTGCAACATCCACACTTGCCTCAAGCAGACAAGAGTTCTTTCAACCCACCCTGGACATTATTCCATAGATATATAAACTTCACTTGCCTAGTTTTCAACAGACCTCATAACTTCTGAGGGTGCCTGCCATAGATGTGGGCGAAACGTCTGGAGAGAATGTTTCTGGAACATGGCCATACAGACCAGAAAACTCACAGCAAACTAAGAATAGCTATGTTTAACACGTTGAGTTCACTGGAATCAAGTCTGAACATACATGTCACTCATCCAATTCATGACATTGTTCTCCTTACCTGCATGACACCGGTTGGAAATCTCATTTGTGAGTCTCTCAAAATACTCTGGCAAGTCTGTGTATTCGTCCCCATATGAGATCACTTTGATCCCTTTGTCCAGCATGTTTTCCCGGAGCTTCTTGAACTCGTCCACATCTCCGCGGCGCACGAGCATGAAATGCTCCAGGTCGGACTTGTGCTTCACGGCTTCGAGGAAGAGGGCTTGGAAGGTGGTATCATCCACAGTCCAGCCACAGCCCAGGAACAAGAAAGATTTGGCTTCATATAGTTTCTGGATCTCCCGCTTTCCAAACAAATAAAAAAGTAAGAAAAGAGAAGGAAAAGGAGGTAGAGAAATGTCTTATTACTTCCACACATATGCATCAGTATATCTATTTACTGCAGACCCACGCTAAAACAGTAGATGTGGCTCTTAATGAGACATGCCGCATTATCACGGGGTGTCTGCACCCTACACCACTGGAGAAATTACACTGTTTAGCTGGTATTGCACCACCTGACATCCGCTGGGAAGTAGCAACCAATAGTGAAAGGACCAAGGCAGTGACATCTCCAGCCCACCCCCTGTTTGGGTATCAGCCAGCACGCCAACGACTTAAATCAAAAATAGACCTTGATATTTGGGAGTTGTAGTTGCTGGGATTTATAGTTCATCTACAATCAAAGAGCATTCTGAACCCCACCAACGATAGAATTGGGCCAAACTTCCCACACAGAACCTTCATGACCAACAGAAAATACTGCGTTTTCTGATGATCTTTGGCGACCCCGCTGATAGTCCCTCGTGACCCCCTCCCCCCCAGGGGTCCTGACCCCCAGGTTGAGAAGCGCTGACCTAGAAGAATTCTCCACTTTGTGTGACTGTGCAGCAGAACAAACCACTCGGTGCCTGTATTCTTGCCCACCATGCCCGCTTCAGGTACAGAGGAACAACTGCTTCAAGCTACAGACAAGGCAGTCGCTGCTGCCCATTTTTGGCCTAAAATTATTTAGCCACTTGTGACATTTGCAAGTTGTAGTTGCTGGGATTTATAGTTCATCTACAATCAAAGAGCATTCTAAACCCCACCAATGATAGAATTGGGCCAAACTTACCACACAGAACCCCCATGACCAACAAAAAATACGGGGTTTTCTGATGGGCTTTGGCAACCCCTCTGACGTCCCCTCGTGACACCCCCAGGGACCCCGACCCCCAGGTTGAGAAACACTAATGTAGATCAGGGGTCCTCAAACTAAGGCCCAGGGGCCAGATGCGGCCCTCCAAGGTCATTTACCCGGCCCTTGCTCAGGGTCAACCTAAGTCTGAAATGACTTGAAAGCACATAACAACAACAACAATCCTATCTCATCAGCCAAAAGCAGGCCCACACTTCCCATTGAAATACCATAGAATCATAGAATCAACGAGTTGGAAGAGACCTCATGGGTCATCCAGTCCAACCCCCTGCCAAGAAGCAGGAATATTGCATTCAAATCACCCCTGACAGATGGCCATCCAGCCTCTGTTTAAAAGCTTCCAAAGAAGAGCCTCCACCACACTCCGGGGCAGAGAGTTCCACTGCTGAACGGCTCTCACAGTCAGGAAGTTCTTCCTCATGTTCAGATGGAATCTCCTCTCTTGTAGTTTGAAGCCATTGTTCCATGTCCTAGTCTCCAGGGAAGCAGAAAACAAGCTTGCTCCCTCCTCCCTGTGGCTTCCTCTCACATATTTATACATGGCTATCATATCTCCTCTCAGCCTTCTCTTCTTCAGGCTAAACATGCCCAGCTCCTTAAGCTGCTCCTCATAGGGCTTGTTCTCCAGACCCTTGATCATTTTAGTTGTCCTCCTCTGGACACATTCCAACTTGTCAATATCTCTCTTGAATTGTGGTGCCCAGAATTGGACACAATATTCCAGGTGTGGTCTAACTAGAGCAGAATAGAGGGGTAGCATTACTTCCCTAGATCTAGACACTATGCTCCTATTGATGCAGGCCAAAATCCCATTGGCTTTTTTTGCCGCCACATCACATTGTTGGCTCATGTTTAACTTGTTGTCCACGAGGACTCCGAGATCTTTTTCACACGTACTGCTCTCGAGCCAGGCATTGTCCCCCATTCTATATCTTTGCATTTCGTTTTTCCTGCCAAAGTGGAGTATCTTGCATTTGTCCCTGTTGAATTTCATTTTGTTAGTTTTGGCCCATCTCTCTAATCTGTCAAGATCGTTTTGAATCCTGCTCCTGTCCTCTGGAGTGTTGGCTATCCCTCCCAATTTGGTGTCGTCTGCAAACTTGATGATCCTGCCTTCTAACCCTTCATCTAAGTAAGTTTATATTTGTTAAAATTGTTCTTAATTTTAATTATTCTATTTTTAAGTAGTTTTTTTTTTACTACAAATAAGATATGTGCAGTGTGCATAGGAATTCATTCATGTTTGTTTGTTTTTTTTCAAATTATAATCTGGACCACCAACAGTTTGAGGGACTGTGACCTGGCCCTCTGTTTAAAAAGTTTGAGGACCCCTGATGTAGATGGAAAATATGCCCACATAAAATGAGAAAGGGCAACAGAAAGCTACAAATCTCACCATGACTTCTGTGTTGCGGAGCACATTCTGGTAGCCAGCTGGATGGAGCACGATGCCACTGGGATTTGTGTACACGCCGTGTATATGGAGGACACTAAGCTTCCTCTTCTCCTGGGCCCACTCCAAGACCTGTCCAGGGTTGTACAAGAAGTGTTCACCATCGAACTCCAAAGGATCGTTCACTTCCCCTTGGCCTATATGATGGACAAGGGCGATTTCTTGCCTCTATAACTCCTAGGGAGCCACAGTTATGGTTAAGCAGTAACTTGGACGGGATGTCACATCACTTTTGAATTTATTCCTGGACAGTATTTAGCCCAAGTGGGTTCAAGAGAACTTAAACCATCGTGGTTTCACACAGTTTTGGGATTTTTCTGGTTCATGGAGGGTGGATATTGCCTTACATAATTAGAAATAAGGTGGGGATACAGTGGTGTGTGAGGTGCAAAAATGGAGGCACATTTTTCCGCACATGGGAAAAATCTATTTGCTATGCATTTGAATCAGTATGATTTATCTTAAAATTAAGGAGGCCATAATAATAATAATAATAATAATAATAATAATAATAATAATAATAATAATAATAATAATAAATACATAAATAAATAAATAATGAAACTGCAAAGGCTCTGGCATAAACCAGTACAGGTGGTCCTAGTGGTCATTGGCACACTGGGTGCCGTGCCAAAAGATCTCAGCTGGCATTTGGAAACAACCAACATTGACAAAATCACGATCTGTCAACTGCAAAAGGTCACCTGACTTGGATCTGCGCGCATCATCCAAAAATACATCACACAGTTCTTGGGAATTGTTCAAGTTGTGATTTTGTGATATGGAATCCAGCATATAGATCTCGTTTGCTGTGACATACTGTGGTTTTGAATAATAATAATAATAATAATAATAATAATAATAATAATAATAATAATAATAATAATAATAATACATCACACAGTCCTAGACACTTGGGAAGTGTCCGACGTGTGATCCAATACAACAGACAGCAGAGTGAGCTTGTTTGCTGTGGACTCATCTTAGTGTGTTTCAAATAATAATAATAATAATAATAATAATAATAATAATAATAATAATAATCATCTCTATTTATATCCTGCCACCATCTCCTCTAAGGGACTCGGGACGGCTTACAAGACACTTCAGCGTGCATATATAACACACCACAGGTAAAAACGGTACAAAAGTATAAAACAAGTCATAAAAAATACAACAACAACCCCCATCAACACATGTACCATAAAATCAAAATACTAAAATTTTAAAACAACAGTAGATAAAACTACCCGCTGTCAATTCACAAGGTACCAAGTTTCAGCTTCATATAGGCCCATTCAGCCTACTGAAGGTTAAAGTCCTGTCTGAACATCCATGTTTTCAGGTTGGAACGAAAGAATTGAAGGGTGGGGCTAATCTAATCTCATTTGGGATGGTATTCCAGAGCCAGGGGGCCACCACAGAGAAGGCTGTCTCTCTCGTTGCCAACTGCATGGTGGGACTGAGAGAAGGGCCTCCCCTGTTGATCTCAGACCCTGCGATGATTCGTAGAAAGAGATGCAGTCACGAAGACTGGTTGGACCCGAAGCGTATGGGGCTTTATAGGTAATAACCTGCATCTTGAATTGAGCCTAGAAACTTGTCGAAAGCAGTTTACCTGACTATTCAATGTGAACTTTTTGTATAAACTATGTTCTATGTTCTGGCATGGGCTGGTCCATGAAGTCACGAAAAGTTGGAAACGATTGAACGAATGAACAACAACAATGTTCTACATAGGTAAAGTTTTCCGAATACACTCAATTTCATCCACGATTTATAGCACTTAACGTTTTGTCTTCTGTTTGTTATCCTTTCATTCTGTATATTCTATTCCAAAACATTATAGGAGACAAAAGCTCTGGACTGGACATGGAAAAACATGTGCTTATACACAAACTAACATTGTGTATCTGCCTTTTGAAGCAAGCCAGGCACTGTGCCAACATAAACAAAGATCTGTCTAAAGGAATTTTAGTGTGTGGAAGGTTAAAAAGAGGGATAAAATATTAGCATGAGTTAACATTTGGCCCTGTTCTCTAGTGCACAGCAGGAATAGCAAGGCAGCAAAATAAATGCATAAATAAAATATCATGAGATAGTAGAATATGTTTTTGGTTTGGTTTGTTTTTGTGACTAGGTGGAATTGCAGCTGTGTTATTGTTAAGAAATACCAAAGCAAAGAAACCAGCTTTTTAATAGTAGGTGAAGGTAAAACTTTTCCCTGACATTAAGTCCAGTCATGGAGCCCCCGGTGGCGCAGCCGGTTAAATCGCTGAGCTGCTGAGCTTGTTGACCGAAAGATCGCAGGTTCGAATCCAGGGAGCAGCGTGAGCTTCGGTTGTCAGCCCCAGCTTGGGTGCCAACCTAGCAGTTCGAAAACATGCAAATGTGAGTAGATCAATAGGTACCGCTTCGGCAGGAAGGTAACAGCGCTTCATGCAGTCATGCTGGCCACATGACCTTGGAGGTGTCTACGGACAACGTCGCCTCTTCGGCTTAGAAATGGAGATGAGCACCACACCCTAGAGTCAGACATGACTGGACTTAATGTCAGGGGACAACAAGTCCAGTCGTATCCGACTCTGGGGGTTGGTGCTCATCTCCATTTCTAAGACGAAGAGTCGGTGTTGTACGTAAACACTTCCAAGGTTTTTAAATTTTTATTTTTTCCCCCTTAAATTTGGCCCTGCCCTGTGTAATCCTGTGTGTTTAATGTCCGATTTTATACTGCTGTGTTGCTTATTATATTGGTTTTGCACTTTATGTTCTTCATTTTTTAGTTCTGTTATGCTTTTGTGTTATATTGTTTTTGTTTTTTTTGTCGTGTCAGGAGTGACTTGAGAAACTGCAAGTCGCTTCTGGTGTGAGAGAATTGGCCGTCTGCAAGGACGCTGTCCAGGGGACGCCTGGATGATTTGATGTTTTTATCATCCTTGTGGGAGGCTTCTCTCATGTCCCCGTATGAGGAGCTGGAGCTGATAGAGGGAGCTCATCCACCTCTCCCCGGATTTGAACCTGCAACCTGTTGGTCTTCAGTCCTGCCGGCACAGGGGTTTAACCCACTGCGCCACTGTGTTATGCTTTGTGTAATTCTGTGGTTATTGTACTGATGGGCTTGGCCTCATGTAAGCCGCCCCGAGTCCCCCTGGGGGAAATGGAGCGGGGTATAAATAAATTATTATTATTATTATTATTATTATTATTATTATTATAAGGTCATGTGGCCAACATGACTGCATGGAGCACTACTGCCTACCCGCAGAAACAGTACCTATTGATGTCTTCACATTTGTGTATTTTCAAACTGCTAGGTTGGCAGAAGCTGGTCCTAACAGTGGGAGCTCACCCCGCTCCACAAATTCAGACTGCCAACCTTTTAGTCAGCAGCTCAACAGTTTAATCTGCTGCGCCACCAGGAGGCCCTTTCAAAATAGCATCTGGTGAATTATATGATGCAGCAGAATCTGAGAGACTAGTATTTTAATTCCTCCTCGACTATGGAAATCCACTGGGTGATATTGAGCAAGTCACACTTTCTCAGCCTCATGAGAAATGAATGGAACATCGCCTCTGAAGAAATCTTGCCAAAGAAAATCTTTTGATAGTTTCAACTTAGAACTGCCATAAGTCTGAAATGGCAGCACTTACTATGGGGGTGTCCCGAGAATGCAATTACAATCATTTACCATCATATCATCCTGAATACACAAGATATTTGAAGCTTGGATGGAAAACTGCCAGGCGATACCAGGGATCTCCAGGCTCAGCTGAGAAAAATATCCTGCTCAAAACCCAAGAGATTGACTGCCTGTCAGAACCAATAACATTTGTTAAGATGGAGAAATGGAGGGATTCTTCCCTACTTTTAAAATGTGACTTTTGTAAGCCTTGCTCAAACTCTTACTTTCTGAGCTGGGCATACTGCTGTGAAATAAATGGATCAATACCCTAGAACTGCTGCCATTAACAAGCACGAGCTCCTCCCAATTACCTTCTTCTCGTCTGTAAGGTCAAGCGATTCAAGCCGCTTCCCTTGGTCCGCGGCATAAATCTCCAGCAGGTTGTCGAAGTTGGTGGTCAGGACGAGAGCCCCCTTCTCCATCAAGTGGAGCACTGACCGAAGCAGCTGCTTCCCGGTGTCTTCCATTTTGGACTCCAGGTCATCAAAGACTTCGTACAAGCAGTCTTTGAGGAAGGTAGAGCGGACATTGCTTGTGCGCTGCCAAGAAAGGATACCAGACCAAGATCAACATCAAAGAAGTCAAGTTTAAAGGTTCTGTATGTCAGGGTCAGGCTTTCTAGGTTTATTTGCTGTTGATGTCATGAAAATATCATTGCAGACTTGATAAATGTGGATTTAATGATGTGTCGGAATGAATAGAAGATGTATGGATGGAGTTAACTATATTGGAAACACCAGTAAAATATGAAGGCCTGTAATGTCTACCTGCTTGCTGGACTGTAATTAAAAGTTGCTAATGAGAACTGAAAGGTAAACTCTCATAAGGACTGTGACAATGGTTCTTTCAAGTTAATGTTTGCAACATTCCTTATGTTAATAAGGAAGTCAACACGAGCCTTGTGTTTGTCAACACCATTCAAGAAGAGTCAACATCTGGCCAGGAAACTGAGATAGATCCAGGATGGAAGATGTCTATTATTAATTTACAACTTTGGGACTACATCAGCAGAGTATTCTTATAAAAGACTCAATCTAATAATGCTCAAAGTGTGGCAGACCTGAGGAGTCTGTTCCATCCGCTATGCTCTGCTCCATGGGAAGGAGAGAGATAGTGTACATATGGAGAGTGGCAAATGTGCAAGGGAGCAGTTTGGTCACTTTGGCCTTCTTTCTCAAGGGAAGAGGAAGGAGTGCACTTCTGGAGGAAGGGGAAGGAGGGAAGGAAGCGGGAGAGGGAAGGAAGGATGGAAATGAGGGGAAGGGGTGTAAATAGCAAGGAAGGAAGGAAGGAAAGAAGGAAAGAAAGAAGAAAAGTGGGAAGGGGAAATGGAAATGAAGGAAATGAAGGAAGGAGAGAAAGAGGGAGAGAAGGTTGGCCACAGCAATGTGTGGCGGGTAAAGCTAGTGTAAGTTATGGAACTATGATTGGCAGGCTGCAGGAAAGCAGGGTCTGGCCTAACAGGTGCCTCTCCAAGGAGGGAGAAAAAGATATGGTAATATTTGAATGTCTGAGGATGAATGCGTGTACATGTGGTATGAATGTTGAGTGAAAATGTAATTTTCCTTTGTTTGTTAGCCATGTAACTGTAAATCCAATGTAATGGCATAGAATATCTGTATGTCTGTATGTCCAATGCCATTCTTTGTCTGAATGTTTTTCTGTAATCTGATGTACCCTCTCACACTGGAAATTGCAATAAAAAGAACCTATGTTTCAAAGTTATTGAAAAGTCATTCATGACAAATTGGTGGGATATTCTTTTCCAATGTGGGAAAGTTATTCATAGCATCGACAATGATGCAAACCTTAAAATGTGTCATTTTATATACATTTTTTATATTACAGTCTATCATAGCCTGAGGCCCTAAACCAAGGATGGGCCAAGATACTGAACCCCCAGATTTTTTTATTTTTTTCCTGGACAGTTTAGACCCATAACACCTGCCTAAATGGCTCAAACTAGGAAATGAAGTAATTTTGCCTCTCCCCATATATTGTGCCATTTAGTCCAACACCCTGCCATGCACAATCAAAGCTCTCCCAACAGATGACCACCCAGCCTCTGTTAAAAAAACTTCTGAAGATGGAGGCTTCACTGCATTCTGAGGCAATGAGTTCCACTCCTGAACAGCTCAGGAAGTTCTTCCCAATGTTCAGGTGGAATCTCCTTTCCTATTTATTTATTTATTTACTTACTTACTTTATTTGTATACCGCTGTTCTCAGCCCTTAGGCGACTTAACAACAGTAGCAGCAAAAATTCAATGCGACAACAACAACATATTAAAACAACACAATAACAGACTAATCAATTAACGACAATCACAATTCACTGGCGTCTCATAACTGAAAACATGATCCAAACTCGTCATCCGTTGTTCCGTTCCTACATTCATTGCACTGCCTATTCAAACGCCTGTTCAAATAACCAGGTTTTCACTTTTCTCCGAAATACCATTAGCGATGGAGCCGATCTAATGTCCGTGGGAAGGGTGTTCCACAGCCGAGGGGCCACCACCGAGAAGGCCCTGTCTCTTGTCCCCGCCAACCGAGCCTGTGTTGCAGGCGGGATCGAGAGCAGGGCCTCCCCGGAAGATCTCAAAGTCCTAGTGGGTTCATAGGCAGAGATGTGATCAGATAGGTAACTTGGGCCGGAACCGTTTAGGGCTTTATAGGCCAACGCCAGCACTTTGAATTGAGCCCGGTAGCAAATTGGCAGCCAGTGGAGTTGGCGCAACAGAGGGGTTGTATGCTCCCTGCGCGCTGCTCCTGTTAGTATCATGGCTGCCGAACGTTGGACTAGTTGTAGCTTCTGAGCCGTCTTCAAAGGCAACCCCACGTAGAGAGCGTTGCAGTAGTCTAATCAGAGCGTGGACTACCGTAGCCAAGTCAGACTTCCCAAGGTACTATCATTTGAACCCATTGCCTCATTGACTCCTAAGTTTCCAGACTAGCAGAAAACAAGCCTGCTCCCTTATCCTTAAAACATCCTTGAAGACCTTATAGAAACCTGAAAATCAAGTAAAATTGAAACCAGAAATAACATCATTTACTTCCTGTTTCAATTAGTTTATGCACGCTCTCTCTTTCTCTTTTCCCTCCGAACTATGTGAAGCTTAAAAGAACAACACTACTGAATTTGTCAAGAGTTCTGAATCTTGATGGGGACACACACACAAACCCCATCATTTATTTTTTAAGGAAAGTGAGAATCTGGGAGGTTTGAAGAGCTATCGTGGCCTGTGGGGAGGGCAGAAGAATGAAAACAACAGCAAAGCAACAGAGAGGAAACAATTTGGGACATCTAATCGCCTCTCAACAAAAGATTGCCCCAGGCACTGCCAGGCCATCAAATGCTAATCAAGGTGGTCAGTTGAGACATTCACACCTAGCTCCAGCAGACAAGAGTTCTTTGTCCCACCCTGGTCATTCCACAGATATATATTTTATTTATTTATTTCGAGTAGTTCTATCCCGCCCTTATCAACCCCCGAGGGGGGACTCAGGGCGGCTTACAAAAAGGCACAATTCGATGCCTACACAAAATACACATACGTTCAAAACAGCAGTTAAAAACAATTATCACAGTTAAAATAGTCGGTATATAACACAATCAATAAAACTAATCTCATGGTCAGCGTTCGTCTTTCAGAGTTCCATACTTCCATTCCACTTAGTCAATTCCTGTCCGTCGTCAAGGTCCTTTCTTTATCTGCCAGATTGTCCGAATGCCTGGTCCCAAATCCATGTTTTCAATTTTTTCCTAAAGGCAAGGAAGGATGTCACTGATCTAATTTCCCCGGGGAGTGAATTCCACAGGTGAGGGGCCACCACTGAGAAGGCCCTGCTCCTCATCCCCGCCAGTCTCACTTGTGATAGAGGCGGAGTCGAGAGTAGGGCCTCCTCAGACGATCATAGACTCCGAGGTGGGACATAGAGGGAGATCCGTTCAGACAGATACACTGGGCCAGAACCATATAGGGTTTTGTAGGTCAAGACCAGCACTTTGAATTGTGCTCGGAATTGGATCGGCAGCCAGTGGAGCTGACACAACAGGGGGGGGGGGTATGCTCCCTGTATGACGCTCCTGTGAGTACTCTGGCTGCCTCCCGCTGGACTAGTTGGAGTTTCCGAACAGTCTTCAAAGGCAACCYCACGTAGAGTGCGTTGCAGTAATCTAATCGGGATGTAACAAGAGCGTGGACCACCRTGGCCAGATCCGAYCCCATTACACCCATATAAACCCATTTTCCTAATTCCAACAGACCTCACTACCTCTGRGGATGCTTGCCATAGATGCAGGCCAAACGTCAGGAGAGAATGCCTCTAGAACATGGCCATATAGCCCGAAAAAACCTACAACAACCCAGAATGAAAACAGGTCCCTGTTCCCTCCAGTTTCCTAAGATTSTCATATGGAGTAGCTAATTTAGCTTTTGCTTAAACCCAACACATAAAGAGAAGTGTAAAGAACATATTCTATCAGACCCAGCACTAGAACTTCAACGGGATCCCCACCATCTGAAACTTGAATAAATGTTCTTTTCATGTGCTGCCAACTCACTGGCGACAGTTTCTGGATAAGGTCATGAGCCACGTGGATAAGGTTCTTATCGTCACGGAGACACTTCTGAAATTTCCTCCGCTCCTCGTCTTCGAGAAGGTCGAAGTCAACGGCAGCATCAAGAAGGGCCTGGATGAGCCCTTTCCAAGACTTCAAGGCTGGCACCTGAGGAGCCACCGCCGCACTGATGCCCGTCCCGATCACCAGCACCAGCTCCTGCGGCCTTTTCGTTTTCAGACTCGGCAACAATTTCCTGCAACCGAAAAGGAGGGATAGGTATAGAAAGAAGGTTTACCCATTGATTTACAACATCATGCAGAAATACACAGAAGATGGAGGGACAATTGTAAATGGAAGCTGTGGAATGTTTTCCATATTTTTACCCAGCTCTTAATAATAATAATAATAATAATAATAATCCAAGAACAAGCCATTCGAACCAATGCCATCAAAGCCAGAATTGAAAAGTCAACAACAGATCCCAAATGTAGACTCTGCAAGGAAGCAGATGAAATAATAGATCACATCCTCAGCTGCTGCAAGAAGATCGCGCAGACAGACTACAAGCAGAGGCACAACACCGTTGCTCAGATGATTCATTGGAACTTGTGCCACAAATACCATCTGCCTGCAACAAAGAACTGGTGGGATCACAAGCTGGAAAAAGTTTCCATTTTCTATTATTATTATTATAGAAGCAAAGTACTAGTTTCAACTATGATGTCGTGAGGGCAGAACAAAAGCGAAAAGAGCAAGAATGGCAGATAGAGAGAGCAGGACTGAACAGCAAGGCAGTAGCTGTCTCCAGGATTGAGATGCCCACCACAAAGCAACCCAGTATTGGAGTTCAGCCTGTGATTGTGTTTCAAGATCAAGGTGTTTTGGATGTAGGGAATGATGTCAATGAGGGTCAAGATGGCAATGATTTGGTCAATGATATCAATGCAGAAAATGACATAGAGACACCGGTTCAAAGTGTAGTTTCCCATGAGAATGTTCCTACGGGGTATAGAGATGAGAGTTGTGAACCGCTGTGAGTCGCCTTCGGGCTGAGAACAGCGATATATAAGTAAAATAAATAAATAAATAAATTTACTCCCTGAATTCCTCTCAGAGAGTCCCCAGGATTTTGGGCTTGAAAACAACTTGGCACCTGCAGAAACTAATGAGTATATAGACAGATGGGTGGAAATTAGCCAAAACAGACAGCTCGGCCAAGGCCTACGGCGTTCTGCCAGGCTTCGACAGATAAGGATGAGAGCCATTCAGGGAAAACGAAACCAATTTCTGAGTGCTTGGAATGGCTTAATGGGGTGGAGACATAAAGTTTCATGCACAGGAAATATAGTCAGATGAAGCATTGTTTTAGAATCCTGCTAAATTCTTGCTCTTGTCTCATGGAAGCCTTGCTTGGAAGATTCATGTTTAAGGACGCCTTGTTTATGGTTTGATTCTTTGTCTCTTGTGATTATATTCTCATGCCTCGGATCAACGTTTTCCTGGTTCTTCGGATTTTATGAGAGAAGTCTGGACTATAGACTGAAGGAAGATTAAATTAGAATTACCTGGGTTTTTTTGCAGGTGGAACTCCATCTTCCAACAATTTTTCTTTAGCCAGATTCAGGTTCACATTGGAAGCCATCCAGTTTCTAAAGAAAAATAAAGATTTCAGGTGAAAGCTGGCAAAATGCTGAACTCTGAGCAAAACAAATTTCCTGAAGTTTATCATAAAACCGCTGAGCTGCTCAACTTGCTGACCGAGTCTACAATGCCATATAATCCCATTCATGGCAGATCCAGAACCTGGAATATATAATATAACTGTGTAGAGGGAAAAAGATTAGAGCTTTTCTGTGACTGGGTGGGACCTTGCAGTAAATAGTTTTAAAGGCACTCTACGGAAATGGCGTGTGGTCATATAAATTCCTCAAAGCAGGTTGTTGGCGTGTCCTGTTGCTCAAAGTCCTTGCTCCCCCCAAAAAATGAGGAGGTGGCAGTGTTCCTGTGCCACTGAACTGATAACCTCTGGTGCGATTACAGGAAATCCCACTTCCAGGCATTGGCTGGATCCAATTCTCATCCATTCTTACTATGAAACTAACTGAGGCTGAACCTGAAATGTTTAGGAGGAAGTGAATACCTCTTTCATTTCTCATTGTGCCCAGAGCCCCAGCCAAGTCACATATTTCCTGCTCCGGTTAAAGATTAGTCAGTTTTTTCTTTTATTTCCTCTCTTTTCCTAGACTGGGAAGTGTCTTCCAAGAAAGCTTCATCTGACTCATTAGCGGTATATAGTTGAACAGGCCTTTGAGTCTATAGAGAGAGTAGCCACTCTAATAATAGAATATTATTATAAAATGGAAATATATGTACAATCCGGCACAGAACGGGTTTATAAATATTATGAAAAAGTAGTTATGACCCAAAGTGATATGTGTACTATATCTCTAAATAGCTTTAAATGAGTCATGAATACTATATAGGTGAAAATGACTTTGAGAACCTATATAAGGAGCCTCCGGTGGTACAGCGGGTTAAATCGCTGAGCTGCTCGACTTGCTGACTGAAAGGTCGGTGGTTTGAATCTGGGGAACAGGATGAGCTCTTGCTGTTAGCCCCAGCTTTTGCCAACCCAACAGTTCGAAAACATGCAAATGGGAGTAGATCAATAGGTACCACTCCGGCAGGAAGTTAACAGCACTCCATGCTGGCCCTGGAAGTGTCTATGGATAACGGCGGCTCTTCAGCCTAGAAATGGAGATGAGCACCCCCCCCCCCCCAGTGTTGAACACAATTTATTTATTTATTCACAGCATTTATATTCCGCCCTTCTCACCCCGCAGTGGACTCAGGGCGGATTATAGTGTACACATATATGGCAAACATTCAATGCCAATTTTGATGTACAGACAACTCAGGGCAGATTACAGTGTACACATATATGGCAAACATTCAATGCCAATTTTGACATACAACATATACAGACATACACAGAGGCTATTTAACTTTTTCTGGCCGCCAGGGGAGCTGTCGCTTTCATCGTCCATCTGCGACTGCTGATGAAGCACTTCCGCATTCCCCGCATGCTTTTTTTTTGCTGGAGTACTTTGCTGGAGTCTTTTTTATGGCCTCATTTAGCCTCCCCACACTTTAAGGTGGTACCTAATTTTCCTACTTGACAGATGCAACTGTCTTTCGGGTTGCAAAGGTCGACAACAGGCTACACACAATTGGTTGGAAACCCACTACAACCCGGGCTGGCTTCGAACTCATGACCTTTTGGTCAGAGTGATCTTAATGCAGCTAACACATCCCGGTGCACACACAACTAGACAAGGGAAAACCTTTACCTTTACCTATCATAGAAGAAGAAATATTAAAGCTCACTCACTAACCCCTTCATCACCTCATCCATTCACTGGAATCTTTAGTGTAGGAAACCTGAACATTATTGCTACTGTTGGCCTTTCATATACATGACTTCTGTATCAATGACTATATATATGTATAAAGTAAAACATTCCAAAATGCAAAGCTTGAATGTGTACATCTATATAAATAAAAATGTAATGTTCGTTTGTGGGATTAACATAACTCAAAAACCACTGGATGAATTGACACCAAATTTGGACACAATATACCTAACAGTCCAACGAGTCCATTACTCATAAACACACACACACACACAGTTTCTCAAGTTGCTCCTGACATGACAAAAAATTGCGTATACTGCTTTTATATGGTCTATAATATTATATGTGAATGCTTTTAATTATATTTTATGTGTTGGTGACATTGATTGCCGATTGTAAACCGCCTTGAGTCGCCTTCGGGCTGAGAGAGGCGGTATATAAGTATGGTAAATAAATAAATAAATAAGTAAGTATACTACTTCTGAATAGTTGCCCAAAGGGCAAGACTCTTGCCCTCCTCCACAACCAGCCACTGAGCAGACAGGTTATTATTGGCCAAGGATTACTGCTGCTAAGACACTCTTAATTCTGAAGTCAAGAGACTTAAGTCTCCAACTTGTGCACTAGAGGGGAATGGGCCGCTCTCCAAGGAAGCGGTGAATGGGAAATGGGTTGCGTGAGAACGAGGTGCTTCCCAGGCGGTCTTTGCCGACTCCTTGACTCAACAGATGAGAGCGGAGAAGGGGGAGGAAGTTTTCCAGAGTCAGTAGGTCATTCAACAACAAGAATAAACACAGAAGAAAGAAAGTCTCTTTGAGGAAAATGTTTTTTCCCCCTATTCTTCTGCTGCAATACTTCCCTAACTTGACGAACAAGCTAGAGACATTCTTTCAGTACGGAAAGCTTACAAAAATATTGCTCCACGGGGATTGTCCTTCTCTCATGTGAACCTTCTGACTTGGTGCAAAGGCTGCCAAGTTGGATTCCAGTGAGCATTCTGTTCCAGGAATAAAGTCTTAAATTCTGTTTTGTGGCTGTTATTCTAACCCATTTTCTTTTGATCTTTTAAAAAACTGCATCATCGTTATTGCTGGTTTTTTAAGGCTGCAATTCTGCAAAGGGAGAGGAGAAGAACATATTCATCTCCCTTTGCAGGCCAAGAAACCTCCTCCGCCTGCTATGCTCTGCACTAATACTCCAACAATAATAAGAGCAAAGAGAGGGCATTCTGAGGGCATGGGATCCAAAGCCCTTCCATGCCCTAAATATGCCCCCAGAATGGCTGAATGAGTGTGCCAACAGTACAGCGGCTTCTTTTATTTTCCATCTAAAACACTGAAAGAAATGTCCTCCTGCAACCTAGAAAATCCTTTGAGAAGGACAGCAGAAGAAAACAAGTATTTAGGCTTGCTGAGAGAGAGATCCCAAAGCAAAGCTGTCCCCTGGCTCTCATACATTTGCTCATTTAAATCAGACAGAAGTTAAGATTAAAACTACGGTACATCGGAATTCTGGAAGCTGCACTTCAAAATTAACTACTTCAAACTCTGCATCTAATTAGCATAGGGTGGCTACCTGTGCTCAATGGGGTCGCACTCAGCTTGTGGTCCTTCTGGACTCTGCTTTGACACTTGATGCTCAGGTGTCGGTGGTGGCTGGGAGGGTCTTTGCACAGCTAAAGCTGCGCCCGTACCTCATGAAATCTGATATGGCCATGGTGGTCCATGCCCTAGTCACCTCTAGGTTGGATTACTGCAATGCGCTCTACGTAGGGTTGGCCTTGAAGATGGCCTGGAAACTACAGTTGGTCCAGAGATATGCAGCCAGACTACTCATGGGAGCTGGTTACAGAGAGCGGTCAACCCTCCTGTTTAAACAGCTCCACTGGCTTCCAATAAGTTTCCAGTCCCAATTCATGGTGCAGGTCATCATCTATAAAGCCTTAAACGGTTCGGGACCTGCTTATCTTCGCGATCGCATCTTCCCCTATGAACCAGTGCGAACTTTGAGATCTTCTGGGGAGGCACTGCTCTCGGCCGTCACATGCACGGCTGATGTGGACAAGGGAGAGAACCTTCTTGGTGGTGGCCCCCCGGCTCTGGAACTCCCTTTCTAGGGAGATCAGACAGGCCCCCACCTTGTCCTCCTTTCGTAGTCAACCAAAAACCTGGATGTTCCGGTGCGCTTTTGACTAAGCAGCTCACCAGTAACTTTCTTGTCCCTACTTGAAGTTCTGCACTTTACACCGGCATACGTTCTACCTCAATATGTGTTATGACAGTATTTCCGGCCCAGTTTACTGTATTGCTGCACTTTCCTGCGCTCCTGTAAAAATGTATTGCACTCATTGAATCTGTACCTCAGCTACGTTTCTTTCAGTCGTATGGTTTTTATATTGCTTTCAATTGTGTTGTTATTTGTTTTATCTGATGTTTTAATTGGTTAAAGTGTTTTACTTGTGTGTTTTAATTGTAATCTTGGGTGTGTCCCTTGTAAGCCGCCCCGAGTCCCCTAGGGGAGATGGTTGGCGGGGTATAAAAATAGTTGTTGTTGCTATTGTTTTTGTTTTTGTTGTTGTTATTATTATTATTATTACCTGTATCTGCAAGAAACCATAGGTTGAAGCGTGGAATTGCATTAACTGTGGATAGAGCACTTTCCCTTCCTCCTAACATTGCCAAGGAACAATTAGGTCTTTGGAGATGGCCTGGCAAGTTAAGTAATGGTCTGATTGTATTTGGATGGAAGTGTATTTGGGTGGAAATTGACTCGAGTGGCAGGAAGCCAGGATTAGTGCTAGAAAGCCTGCTTGACCTGAATATTTGTCTTGACAGACAACAATATTTCCCTGGAGTTCCTGCAAGATTCGCGGATGCTTTCCCAATATTTTACAGTTCACCAAACTGTACAAATGTGTGACTCCTTTTCTTTTATGAAGGCGGCTTTCCCCCGCTTTTAGTACACGTCAACATTTGGTTCATCCCTTGAAATTCTAATGTCCCACAAAGTTAACCACTTGGAACCAGGGCACAAAGGAAAGGTAAAGAAGCTGGCCATCCAATGTGAACATCTATATAAATAAATATGTAATGTTCATTTGTGGGATTGACATAACTCAAAAACCATTGGACAAATTGACACCAGATTTGGACACAAGACACCTATCAGGCCAACGAGTGACCATCACTCTAAAAACATTGAAAAACACAACAGAAAGGACTTCAAAAGCCAAAAAA